TCCAGGAATAGGTTATATGTTCGATTTATGAGAGATAGGTTAGGTGGCGCTGGAAGGAACGAATGGAAAAGGACGGGGAAGTTTCGTTTTGGGCCTGATAGTAGAGTCGTTATAGGAAGACTACCCTAACAGGGCCTGGATAACGACACCCCTTTCCTTCTGGAGCAATGAAACGCTTTCCCTAGTAGGTCTTAGCAATCCTAAGCAGGCCCTGGCAGTCCTAAGCAGGCCCTAACAGGCGGTCCTAGCAATCTTAAGCAGTCCTAAGTAAGCCCTTAACAGGCCCTTAGCAGGCCCTAGGTTCTAAGCAGACCCTAGCAGTCCTAAGCAGGCCTTAACAGGCCCCTAGCAAGTCCTAGCAATCTTAAGCAATCTCAAGCAGGCCCTAACAAGCGGCCCTAGCAATCTTATTAAGCAGTCCTAAATAGGCCCTAGTAGACCCTAGCAGGCCCTAGCAGAACCTAGCTATCTTAAGCAACCCTAAGTAGGCCCTAGTAGCAGGCCCTAGCAGGGCCTAGCTATCTTAAAGCAACCCTAAGCAGGCCCTAGTAGGCCCTAGCAATCTTAAGCAGGCCCTAGTAGGCCCTAGCAATCTTAAGCAGGCCCTAAGCAGACCCTAGTCTAGGGATAGTATGCCTTAAACAGGGATATTATTGAGAGGTTTGGAAGTTGTATATATAGGAAACAGAGGGTTTATCGAGGATTTGCGAGAAAGTGCTCGAACCTCCTTGAACTTGGAATCCATCTAGTGGCGAGGGTGAGAACGATGGTCGTCAGGAATTCTCGAGACGTTAGGTGGATTAAGGAGCGAGAACCACGTGGTCTGGGCGATTGAAATGGTAAGAGTGTTTGAATACAAGCTTAACTCTTATGGTATTCACCTATTGCCCTACGATTTAAGTACCTATAGCACGTACCATAGTAAACAACAGTCGAGCCATTACCAGAATAACGCGTAACTCAGACAGGAAGACGGCACGAGCCTGACTAATGAAAATAATCGTTCAACTTTGCAGAAGAACGTCTAAATTACTATTTTTGTAGCTATGTAAATTACTAGCTTCCTTGACAAAATAAATGCTACGTATCTTCTCTGTGTCTAACGAAAACCTTAGAACTGTTCTCCTATTATTAGTCGAGGACCACTCTATCGACCTTAATGTTTCTCAGAACAGTGCAAAACTTGAAGGATATGAAATAAATATTACTAACCAGATTCTCGTTCGAAAATTGTTCAAGTCCTGATGGGGCGTGGCAACATCAACAGGAAGATCGGTCGCACGTTGAACCACTTCGTACTAACGTGTCGAAGAATAACACGCAACTGAGACGGAAAGACACGGACGGAAATGACACGGACCACGAGCCTGATCGGTAGTGTTTACGTTTGGGACCTGTCTACAAACTACGCTCCTTGCATATCATACTCGTGTTTAGACCGATTTCCTTAGTAGGAGTTTTACGGTATATTGTAGACGAAGGTGTTAGTAATTATAGTGGCTATAGTGGTTATGGTGACTATAAACGTGGAACGTCTGACACTCGAGGTGCACTCTCGGTGACTATAAGTTTCCCACGTCCACTGAATATTTGACGTTCACGTCGGACTATCGGTGAATATAGTCAGCGAATATTTGACATTCGCGACGTAATATTAGAAACTATAGTCACTGAATTTTTAACATTTACGACGGACTATCAGTGTATATAGTCACCGAATATTGATGTTTGCAGTGTAAAATCGGTGACTATAGTCAGCAAATATTTGACATTCGCGACGTAATATTAGTAGTTATAGTCACTGAATATTTAACATTCACGACGAACTATCAGTGTATATAGTCACCGAATATTGATGTTTGCAGTGTAAAATCGGTAACTATAGTTAGCAAATATTTGACGTTCGCGTCAGACTATCGGTGAATATAGTCACCAAATATTTGACACTCGCGACGTAATATTAGTAACTATAGTCACTGAATTTTTAACATTCACGACGGACTATCAGTGCATATAGTCACCGAATATTGATGTTTGCAGTGTAAAATCAGTGACTATAGTCAGCAAATATTTGACATTCGCGACATAATATTAGTAGTTATAGTCACTGAATATTTAACATTCACGACGGACTATCAGTGTATATAGCCATTGAATATTGATGTTTGCAGTATAAAATCGGTGACTATAGTCAGCAAATATTTGACGTTCGCGTCAGACTATCGATGAATATAGTCACCGAATATTTAACATATAGTCACGGAATATATAACGTTTGCAGTGTACTACCAGTGACTATAATTACAGAACGTTTGACGTTTTGCTGTCCTATCGGTGGCTATAATCGCCGAACATATAAACACTTGCATTACATTGACAGTGACTATACTCTCCCAGAAAAGGGTACAGGGAGATAATAACGGAGCGCAATATTTTAAGTAGAAAAGAAACGTCCGGAGATCGGAGTATCCTCAATCGGGGAATAAAGACAGGATCGAATCTGTGTCGCCTGGTCTCTCTGCACCGATACCGAATATTCGTCTGGGACGTCGGCGCCACAGTTATAGTGCAGGCGCTTATGATGCCAGCCACCCGCCGGCGGCAGACCATCCAGCGTCTTCGATGGAACTTGTACTTGAACTCTTCGATCTCGTGCTTCCCTTCCAACTTCTTAAACTCCACTCTCTTACGTAACATCATAAAAACAGGGCTCATGAATTCCGCAAACAACAGCCCCTATCAGCCCCGTCCGCGAAGATCCGTGTCCTCGTAATTCAAACCGCATCGAACGCAAATCCCAAACTTTTTACTTCCACGACACGACCCAAATTTCCCCCCATACGATTCCTAATTTCATTTCCACGCAGACACGCCGGAGGCACGCTGGAAATTACCGATACCAGTCGAACGACTGAAACAGTCGGGAGAGTCCTACTTGCGAAACAAGGCGGAAAGCCAAGAGCAGATTCGTCGGGAGGCAACAATCGCTAAAACCGTGCGAGACCAGCGACGATTCGGGCAGCTGGGGCCGGGCGAGGTAAGGCGAAGAGGAGCGAAGAGGAGCGAAAAGGGAGGAAAGAGAAAAGGAAAAAATGAGTCGGAGGGCTCTCGAATTTAAAGCCGGGAGCACGGCCACGCTTGTTAGAGTTCCGTGAAATTAAGTCCGCTTAACGAGTACGAGTCGGGAAATTTAACGAGCCCGGCCGTTGCGACCTGGAGAATTTCGCAGCCGTCTTTGCCGTTTTTCCCTCTGTTCCCCTCCCGCCCCTTGCGTCCCTGTTTCCCGGTAAAGGAGTAAAAGTGAAATCGGCCTGAACAGCGGCCGTATGGGCCGCGTTGGTCGAGTTAAATCGGACGAAAGGGGTTGCGCAGAGGGGTGGAGCAACGAGGTGTCAGTCGTTGACACGATATTCCGCGATGGAGGAAAGTTCGACTTATTAATACTTTTATCGTGCACCCTGTCGCGATCAGGATTCGCGAGAAAGAGCTCCGAGGCCTGTTCCAAAGTTGCCTATGGAAAGTCTGTCCTCGACTTTGCTCCAGTCTCCGAATGCACGTGGGAAACTTGGCAACTTCCAATGCATCTGATTTCTCCTCGAGATTGAACGGAAAGAACGTAACGCGTGTTCGCCGATCGTTCTTTCTTTCAGCTGCTAGGGGGCAGCTGTGAGGGCACAGGACTGGCGTGTTCTACGTAACATTTCAATTACGCTCAACTGGATATAAACTGTCTCCTCTCCTATACTTGGAAAACCCTCTTTCCTCTGATCTTCCAATAGCTGTTTCCCCGGACTCGCGAAATTTATCAGAATTTATTCTAATTAATTCTAACCACGAGCGAAGGAAGCTTCTTTCGCTACAGCATTCCTCGGATTGTCAGTTCCTGCTCGTATAAGTCTGGCATAAAACTCTGCGGCGAAGTTATCTGTCACGCGTGATTTATTGGCATGTTGGAAATTTATTTACCTACTTACTATTCCAACGACGATCCTTCCCTTCCACTGGGAGCAGCCCCAGTCCAGCCATCCCTAGGATTACCGTTCTCTATTTTTACAGCTCCGCGTAAAAGCCTTACAGCGGAGTTACAGGCGAAATTTCGTCATCCGTTCGTCCAATTCTCCTTTCCCGCTTTTATAGACCCCATATTCCTCGATGCCAACGTCGTTCCTTCCCGAGTGCGTTATTCGGACGAACGATAGTGTCGCGAGGAAGATAAGAAGGAGGAAAGACTGTATGTATAACGTAATTGACACCCGGAAGCGCACGATGGTCGTCACACGTGTCCCCGGAGAGACCGGGGGACCGGAAACGAGAGGAACGGCGAAGAATGGCGGAAATGGAGTCGCGTTGCGTGTCGCGGGATCGTTGGGGTGTGCAGTTTTCCGGGTGGTCTGACCAGGGAATAAAACGCTTCCGGCCGGCGACGTGGTACAATCGATAAACTACTTCCGGTGATCCTCTCCGCCTTCCTTCGAGTCCTGACGCACTAATATATCGAGATTGCTTACGCGACTTCAGACTGGATCCGAAGGGGATGAACCTCGAGATCGGAGCCGGACTTTTTCCCACCTAGGGTTGGAGATGCTCGAGGATGGATGGGAGCAGGGCCAGGAGGACACTCGAGGAAACCGCATTAACGGAGGAACGTACGAGGGCGATCGGATAACTTTCGACCCGGCTCCATCGCCATTACCAGACGCTGTAGACCCGAGCACCGTCGCAGAACTGCCTAGCCTAACATGTACATAGAAGATATCCGGATGAAACGATGACCACTGAGGGCCTAAGTCTCTCGACCTAAGATTTTTCTACGGTGCGCTTGAAGCACGGCAACGTAACCTCGCTACGAACTAACCGACCAACCTCTAAGAAGCAGCTAGAAGCTCATAGGAACCTAGACTACCCTAGTCGCAGCAACGACTTTAAAGAGAGACATCATCCGACTAAGTCGAATGAAAATAGCGTGATAGTTAGAAGCATTACCGCGAAGACACGGCATAAAATGCGATCTTCGAGCGAGCAGCAAGCTTCGCGCAGCAAGTAGACCAAGTCCATGCCGGCTAAAATGAGCCAGCACCTCGTACGGATGCTGGTCCTGCTGGTATCGCTGCACCAGCTGTCGGTGGTGAGCCAGTCGAAGGCGCACAGCGAGCGGGAAGCTGTGCTGATCCCTGGTGACATCGTTCTAGGCGGTCTGTTTCCGGTACACGAGAAGGGCGGCGCCTCGTGCGGGCCGAACGTCTACAATCGGGGCGTGCAGCGTCTCGAGGCGATGCTGTTCGCCGTGGACCAGATCAACAAGGACAAGATGATACTTCCGGGCATCACGCTCGGTGTGCATATCCTCGACACCTGCGGCAGGGACACGTACGCGCTCAACCAGAGCCTCCATTTTGTCCGAGCGTCCCTGTCTAACCTGGACATCAGCGTGCTGGAGTGCGCGGACAAGTCGGTGCCAAGGGTGAAGAAGACGGCCAGTGCTGGGCCTATTTTCGGCGTGATCGGTGGTTCCTACAGCTCGGTGTCTCTACAGGTGGCAAACTTGCTCAGGCTCTTCCACATTCCCCAGATCTCGCCAGCTTCCACCGCCATGGCGCTCAGCGACAAGACCAGGTGACTATCTTATCTTCTCGTAACATCGATCCCATCGCTGTTCCTCTACTAGCTTTTCCTGATTCGCGCTGTCGTATCGCGTCGGTACGAGTAGAGGACAATCCCTGTTTTAATCTCTCCACCAGGTTCGACTACTTCGCCAGGACGGTGCCTCCGGACACGTTCCAATCGATCGCGCTGGTGGACGTGGTGAAGAGCGCCAATTGGTCCTACGTGTCCACCGTCTACTCCGAGGGTAGCTACGGGGAGTACGGGATCGAGGTGTTCACCAGGGAGGCTACCGAGCGCAACGTGTGCATCGCAGCTGCGGTGAAGGTGTCCAGCGCAGCTGACGACCGCGAATTCGACGACATCATCCAGAAACTGAGCAAGAAGTCGAACGCCAGAGCTGTGATCCTGTTCACCCGCGCCGAGGATGCGAGAGGGATCCTGGAAGCTGCCAGACGCTCCAACCTCAGTCAACCGTTTCAGTGGCTAGCCAGCGACGGCTGGGGTCGTCAGATCAAGCTGGTGGAGGGTCTCGAGGAGGAAGCAGAAGGCGCCATCACTGTGGAACTTCAATCGGAGAATATTCCAGAATTCGACGAGTACATGGCCTCCTTGACCCCGGACTCGAATCGCAGGAACCCCTGGTTCAGCGAGTACTGGGAAGAAGTGTTCGACTGTGCCCTCAAGAAGAACTTGGGGTACACTGGTAACGCGAATGCCACTGTGTGCTCGGCGAACCTCAGACTCACCTCGAAGGCTGGCTACGAGCAGGAATCCAAGGTCCAGTTCGTGGTGGACGCGGTGTACGCCTTTGCACTGGCCCTGCACAATCTTCAGAAGGACGTCTGCGCCAGGTGAACGTGTCCTTTACAGGTGAGTCGGAAATCACGTAGTCACCCGTACAAAAGCCTCGCTGAATCCCCGTGGCCTGGAAAAATTCAATATTTCGCGCGGCCTCGGGGCTCTTCAATGCGCCAGGATATATTCGGGTCCCGTGGATCCCCTCTTTTCGATTCTCCGCTGTTCCCTTGCCGTATTAAATTTCTTTTTTTTCTTCACCCTCACCCCCTTGCGGCGGGACCAGCAATAAACGCGCGATTCGCGCCCGCTTTATGACGCGAGACCGATAATATCGACGACCCGTTGAACGATAAACGCGCCGGAACGAAGAAGACATTCACACACAGGGGGGTGTTGGGGTTGGCAGATATGAAATTTTACAGACCCTTGCCGCTATTCGCCGGGCTGCTTTGTGAACGGGCGGATAATTCGCGGGTGACGGGGCTCGAAGGCCTGTTTTCAACGGGAATACGCCATTTTGCGCTTGATTAAGTTTTATCGGCTACCTTCCCGGTCAGTATCAGAATTTGCTACTGCAACGGCGGGGTTTATGACTGGCCATTATACATTCCGTCACGAACCACGTATCCGCGATCTTTGATTTATGGCACGAGGTGATACGAGAGTGGCCATATTTAACTTGTACTTAACTGAAACTACCTGTGGGGTGTGTTTAAACGCGGCGCACGTGGATAATGGTAATTGAGCCTTTCCACCAGGTACGTACGTGTGGGTCGATTATTCCCTAGTGTTCGTGGCTCGTGATTATGACTCAGGTGGATGAGCGGGGTATATACTATACTCGTTGTAAAAAGATGATGCTTGTCTAGTTAAATCGTGTTACGTGAATTGTACGCGAAAATTTTGACGAGAGCCGTGAGACGAATTTTTGTTACTTTTTCCCCTAGAATCTAGGGAATGTCTAGTTGTTGATCGATCGATACTCCCGGAGACAAGGAGTAGGTGCTATCTTCCTCAATAAAATTATCTTCTCCCCCAAATCTACTCCTTGTTCGACACATCCAGCCCGACGTACGACCCTCCCATTCGTCTTTCACAATAATGTCCTCTTTCACAACTTAACCTGAGCATCCCCGAGGATTCCTTGAACGCGAGACAATGTGATACATCGTCGAAACTGGACTAAGACTGCAATAATCGCGAGAGTTATTATAAGAAATAATAGTGATCTCGGTATAGGCCTACATAGGGTGGCTGTAAATTACTAGTACAGATTGAGAAAGTCCTAGACGAATACATTCGAAAATAAAGAGAACGTGTGCACCTAATTGGTAATTAGAGTTCCCAGTTTCACCGGGTGCAAGGAAGTGCAGAGATTAATTACAGTGAGACATAACTTACTAGAAGCAAACTGTAGCTATCCTCTCTACCCGGGTGTCTGAACGCTTAGAATGGCTGAGGTTAACCCCGAAATGGTGACTCAAATTGACTGCCTATCAATATCGGTGACTCGAAGTCAAATTGACTCCGTATCGCCAGTAGTGACATGACGTCAATTTGGGGTATCCTTGGATACCTAGATCTCGCGAGTGCACTACCAGATACTTACACCATCGACGACACGAATTCGATTTGACGCACGTCACCGGTCTAGGGTCAGAACTGCGACACCCTAGCATCCACGATCCCCGGATCACCTCAGTGTCGCCCTGGGACGAAAAAATTCGAATCTTCATCCCACAGCATTCGTCTTCGGATCACCAATAATCCCGAGTCCGCTCCCCTGACGACACGAAAGCTTGCGAGGAGCGTGGCAGGGACCAGTGGGAGCCATCCCAGGCATTTCCCTCGGGGCCGATGCATTCCTAGATCGAACACGGAAGCACGAGCGCGGATGCAGATTCCCTGTGGCGTGCAGAGCCGAAACGAATTTTCAGCCTGGCCGATGAAAACACGGGCCGCGACAGAGGGGTGGTGCCAGGTTCGTTCAGAGGGTTAAAAGCGGCGCGACCCCTTGCTCGTCGAGGCAGACGCTCGCAACGAATCACGGATCGCGTCCGACTTTTATCATCGTGGTTCGCGGCGATAAAGACCGGTCCGCTAAGAAATCAAAGAAAAGAGGGGGGAAGGGGCAGCAAAAGAGAAAACACGCTTCGAGGCATACCGTGACTCCTGGTTGACGAAAGAGAAAAAGGGAAGAAGAAGGAAAACGAGAGGAATGATTGTCACGGAAACGAAGAGTAGGAAAGGGATAGGGAAAAAGGTGGGGGTCGTGGTATCACAGGGGGATCGTGCTGTATCGATCCTAAATGTGCAGTCCAAGGCCATTGTTTTTTTTTTTTTACCTTCGTTTATCAGACCGACGCGTGATAGAGGTTTACGTCGAAGATGCATCGAGCTTGGAGAATCAAGTAATACCGGAAGTCGCGCCTCGACGCCCCCCAGTGGCGACTACCCTTGCATCCCCCTTTTAGCCACATTCGCAAAGTGTTCCAACGTGTGCCGTTTCTAGAGAATTATGTACGAACTGAAATATTTGATACTCATCTCTAGGTAGAAAATGATTCGACTGTGTATACAGTAGTTAGAATATGTGTGTTGGAAACATGTAGCATTGACGAAGCACAAGAATAGTGCACAAGAAATGTGTAATGATAGTCGAGAGTAGCACTGATTGATAAATAAGAAGTTTGGTTGCTTCCGATAGCCGTAAGATGACTGTGCACTTAACTCACTAGCGCCACCACGGCCCGTATCTACGGTAAATGTCCCTAAAGCATCGTATACGTCGTTGAATTATTTTCTACGTTTGCTGATATGATCTTGGTACTTCCTTCTCGCTATATTGCTATATATCGGAATGCTTCCGTGTATGGGGGTCTTTTCTTTATCCTTCCTCCCCATTTTTTCCCCTTTTTTCCCTTTTCCTAGTACCATCGGACGTGGCGATCGCGCGATGAAGTACACGTATACCGCGACGAGTTCGGACGATATCTCGAATCGAATCGGCCAGTGGCATGGCCGCGGGCGGCGTTATCGATTCGTTCGGTCGACGTGTGCACGTCGAGGGCGATTTCTACGAAATGACCAGGAAATAATGGCCCGGTTTCGGTGACTTCGCACGCTTTAGATCGATCCAACGCTCTCGCCACGGGCGACCGGATGAATCGGAGATTACAGGTCGTGCCGCAAAATGGATCGGATCGGAAGAAATTGTATTTTTCTGTCTCTTATTTTCACTCCCTTTCCGTTCGTTTTTCGGATTTTACAGTTCACGCGAGACGATTTTTTCATTCCGAGCATTTAAGTCGCAATGATGGAGGTTCTTTGTGAAGAGTGCTTCATGAATTGTAGACGGATGACGAAATATCTCGTGATTCGCATTGCGTAATGAGAAGTGGAATTATTAATCATAAATAATATCTTGCATTCTGTACATGTGTACGTATCAGTGAGGAATAGTTACGAGATGATTAGCTCTTGATATGGTATTAGTAATAAAATAATCTATAATAGGCAAGTGAAAAGGTTCTTTTGCTGCACTTTGTTAACGTTGAAACTAGTGACACGTGATATGGTGAGAATATTTTCTGCCATTGTAAAAATAAGAAATACTAAAATGTGATATCGTGGGTTGGAAGACGAAATCGTACCGTAAATCAATTTTTATACTGAAATTCGAGTAAAACGAGAAAATTACGAAATCGTGTGGACATTGATTTCGACAAAATCGCCGAATCGGTGGAACAATGGCGTCATCTGAAGCAGCTATAACAATTCACACGCTTCCATATTTGGCAAACAAACAAAGCAAGTGGCATACATATGCAGGAAGGTTGGATTTTCAGTGAAGATATGGGATCGTGTGGATGCTCCTTTCAGTTAATACCGATTTGCTAATTTCGTGGAATGCGATTCACCACTTGGCCAACAAAGAAAGCAAACACAAGCGTGACAAGTAGAGTCGAAATTTGTGTTTTGACAAGATCGAGGAATCGTATTATCCGAATTAATTATAAAAATTCACCAGAATTTCCATGACAGTGTGAAATCGTGCGAACGCTTCATTCGAATTAAATAATTGTCCAAGAGATCGTATCGTCTGTGGTATTATAGGTTATGGTACCATGAAAGTTCGATCGCGAGCGACAGACAGAACATTGTTTCGCGTACATGTTCGATTTTTAATTGCGTGCCAATAATCGAGCGTGGAATGTAGGCTAGCTAGAGATATTGCAGCCATCGGATGACTGTGCTCTACGTTGAGTTATGAGCCGAAGAAATACGCGTGTGTAACGTTGCACGTCACGGTCTGACCTAATCTGATACCCGTTGATATTACAATTTGCCTCGCGCCGTTAACGAAGGAATGAATCAGATGTTTCCGCGACTGATCGCCGCCTGCTGCCTATATGCGACGCAATAAAGCGAGGCGACTACTACTAGCGCCACCACTATCTTTAATTTCCCTCCGACACAGAGAATTCGCAATATCTCCACTATTCACGTTTTACGTTCGCTTAAGCGTACTCGCGATTTTTCTATGGTAAACGAGACGACTACTAGCGCCACCCCTACCTTTAATTTCCCTCTAACACAGAGAATTCGCAATATCTTCACTATTCACGTTTTACGTTCGCTTAAGCATACTCGCAATTTTTCTATGGTAAACGAGACGACTACTAGCGCCACCACTATCTTTAACTTCTCTCCACACTGAAAATTCGCAATGATTTCTTTACTGTTCACCCTTTACGTTCGTTTTAGTTTACTCGCGAGCTTTCCGATCTCGTCGGGAATTATTAAAGAATAGAACGTGTCAACACGTTGACTGTTAAGAATTTAGAAGTCATTTGGAAGAAAGGTATTTCTAGAGATTATTATATATTTACGAGCCACTCTTTGTTAAAGGCTGTATTACTGATGATGTTTATAGACTTTGCCTGGCTGTTACAATTATAATAGGAATGTTAAAAATATCATAACCTAAAATTCTTATAACTATTTATAGAATTTTAGATAATTTATTAACGACGAATATTCATTATCTTCGATCAGGATGTACAGTATTCATCTATTCTTTACAAAATTATAATAACGAACTAAAAATTTTGCAAACGCTGATATGACTCTTTCTTCGTGATTTTGAGGTTAGGTACCACTTTCAAATTACTCAAACTTGAAGTAACCCGTCCAGAAATTACTGTCTCGCGATAGATCATAAAAATTAATCTCAAACATTCGATCCATCTAGAAATGGCAGCCGATCGTGGTGTCTCCTAACCTAAAATACTACAATTCTTATAACCATTTATATAATTTTAGATAATTTATTAACGACGAATATTCATTATCCTCGATCAGGATGTACAGTACTCATCTATTCTTTACAAAATTATAATAACGAACTAAAAATTCTGCAAACGCTGATATGACTCTTTCTTCGTGATTTTGAGGTTAGGTACCATTCCCTTTCGACTATAATTTTTCACATTACCCAAAAATGAAGTAACCCGTGCAGAATTTACTGTCAGCGATAGATCATAAAAATTAATCTCAAACGTTCGATCCATCCAGGAATGGCGGCCGATCGTGGGGTCTCCTTTCCCAACGTCCCTCGTTAACGCACGAATTATTATTCCCCAGGTTACTACGTGCTCGTAATTCTCACGCGCGGGAGTGCTCGCCGGCGTCATAATCCTGGCGCGTTAACACGGCGAGAACTGTTCGTGGAGAAAAACCGACCTGCTCTAATATCGACCGATATCGAGTGAAAAAGGTTTCCCCTCCGGTGATAGAAAATCGAGAGTCGTCGAAAGCGTTTCGCCGGTACCCCGGGCACCCTCTCTCGCGTTTATTTCGCGAGTATCGCGGCGATATCGGGTTTGGAAAAACGCAAAGGCCTCTCATCTATTCTTTACAAAATTATAATAACGAACTAAAAATTTTGCAAACGCTGATATGACTCTTTCTTCGTGATTTTGAGGTTAGGTACCACTTTCAAATTACTCAAACTTGAAGTAACCCGTCCAGAAATTACTGTCTCGCGATAGATCATAAAAATTAATCTCAAACATTCGATCCATCTAGAAATGGCAGCCGATCGTGGTGTCTCCTAACCTAAAATACTACAATTCTTATAACCATTTATATAATTTTAGATAATTTATTAACGACGAATATTCATTATCCTCGATCAGGATGTACAGTACTCATCTATTCTTTACAAAATTATAATAACGAACTAAAAATTCTGCAAACGCTGATATGACTCTTTCTTCTGTGGGTGGGCTGGCACAATCGTGTGTCATTTCCGCCGAGGGGAAGAGCGATAATTAAAAGCCGTATTGGCAGAGGATATATTAAAACCGAAACGATCGTGCAATATATAAACGAAACGCTTGTTCCGTTTCACGTGAAAACCGTGAAAGAAAGACAAGTCTCCATGACCCAAAGATAATCCTCGAGGTATCCGTTTCCTAGCATCGATCATGGCGTCAGAATCGAGGAATCGATGAATATAACGGCGAATGATAGATCATAGCAAGTCAAAGACCATGCTAGACCATTTGCAGATACCTTTGATCGACTGAACGTCGATTTACGGGTCCACGGGACCGACTGAATTGCCGTTTCCGCTCAGCTTCGATGCGTTTTATTGTTCGAGAAGAGAGAGCGAGTCTGTTGCCGAGGGTGGGTTAGCCTGCTTTGGAAACAGAGAGAACGTGTGGCTTTTCAGACACCGCTGGCAGCGAGGTGAAGTTCGACGAGCACGGAGACGGCCTGGCGCGGTACGAGATCCTCAACTTCCGGAAATCGGACCACAACGGGACTAATGGGTATCACTATCAGGCAAGTGAAAGTGCTTCTGGCTTTTTCCAACGATTAATTAGAACTTCTCCTGTCCCGTCCCCTGCTCCCCCGACCGCCCCTATCGCACCCTTCGCCAATCATCCTCAGAGTCGGCAAACTTTCGGGCAACTTGCCCCACCGCTTTCGGCACTTTTACGCCCCTTCGAGCCCGGCATAATATCGAAATTGAAGTTCCTATTATGGGTTCGGCGGATTTCCACGACCCGTAGAGATAATTATCCTTCCGGAAACTTGGCCGAGTGCGAACTGCCATAAATTGAAATAATCCCCGGCTCTGAGGAATTAGCTTCGGTTACACAATTGAATTTCACCCCCTCCGGCTTGTACACCCCCGGCGCCATGCTCCTTTAACCCCTTCGCCCGACATTGTCCTTTAATTGTTTTCCCACTAATTTCCATTTCTCAGAAATTCCAGGCCAGGCTCCCTCCCGATTTTCCCCCTGCTCCACTTTTCTCTACTTTTTCAGGAATTTCTTTTATTCCCTGGGCAACTTTACCTTACTCGGAGTCGAGTTTTCGTAATTCGAATCTTTCGTTTTCCAACTTTACCGTGGTACCCTTCTCTTTGCAAGCTGGATAAGGAGTTAATCGTTTCACAGGTCTGGGATATTGGACACCAGAAATTTGAAAAACCCTTTTTCCTGATTCTTTATCGAGGTTATTATTTCAAAAATATTATTTTTAAAATATTGTTTTCCAATTTTGTTTCACCAATTTTTATTCATTTCGAATCTTCTGATCGTTTATAATTATGGTTTTAGTCTAACTTGACTAATTTCCATCTTTAAAACATTTATTCTAATTTCTTACAATTCTATTTGTAACCTCATTCCAAATTTGATATATTTTTAGTAATTTTCTTTTACAAATTTTAATTCATTTCGAATGTTCTGAATATTTGCAATTATTTTTTTAATCTAACACGACTAATTTCCATTTTTAAAACGTCATCTATATTAATTATCTATATTATCTATATTAATTTCTTACAATCCTGATTTTAACTTCGTTCCAAATTTCTTTTATTTTTCCTAATTTTCTTTCACAAATTTTGATTCATTTCGAATCTCCTGACCATTTGTAATTATTTTCTTGATCTAACGCGACTAATTTCCATCTTTAAATCATCATCTATACTAATTTCTTGCAATCCTGATTGTAACTTCATTCCTAACTTCTTATAATCCTGATTTTAACCTGATTCCAAATTTCTGATATTTTCACTAATTTTCCATTACAAACTTTAATTCATTTTAAATGTTCTGAATATTTAAATTATTTTTTTGATCAAACGTGACTAATTTGCACCCTTAAATCCGAATAATTAAAATAATTCCCTAGCCTTATGGTCGCTGTGCTTCCCCGGATCTTTTCGTTATTTCCAATTGCATTTTGATACAGAATCTGATTAACTTGCCGAATAATTAAAATAACGTACAGGTTTATTTCCACGACCATGTGCTTATAAGGCACCGAGAGCATTCGCGCGTTAAATTACATTCGACCCGGGGATTTTTCCCATCGGAACAGAGTGACGTCAGCCACGTACGAAGCCTAGTCCCTGGCCCCGGCCTCTCGTATCCAATTAACGATTGTTTTTCGATAAAAATCGTAAATCAACGTAGAAGCCGGGTGCACCGGTCGTGTTTCGAACGATAAAGTGGCGGCCGGACATAAATTGCAACGTGACCTTCGCCGCGTCCGCCTTCCTACCCGCTGGATGCAACTTACGGGGGATGAAATATAACCCCGGCTCGCCGGAACAGGTAACTTTAAATCGTCAAAGAGGGCTTGGCCATTTATTAAGGAACAAAGGAAAAACGAGGAAAACAAAACAAAAATCCCCGTATCATCTTGCACTCGAAAGTTGCTACGCTCGTATTTCAATTTCCACGAGAGCGGTACGTATCTCATTATCAAAGTGGAGTATCTCAGCCAGGGCGATATTTATCCCCCGAAACGCGGAAAAACACCGCGTCCTGCATCCCTGCACTGGTTACAACGCGAAAAAATAAAAAAAAAGAATACGCCTTCCCGAGCGACGAATTTTTCCATATCCACGAACGCTACTGTCAGAGCTAGCCTCTGAACAGGGATCGTCGAGTATCCGGAATTGAAATCGCGTGTGTAGCGAGGGTCCACTCGGCTGTCCGTCCAATATACCTCAATGGAAATTTCGACGTCGATCAACGGTCACGCTCGAAACGCGTTTACAGTATCACCGGTAGAATTCGCTATTCCCAAAAACTCCTAGGTCCTCGCGTCATCGACAGGACTTGGTCCAGGGCTGTCGCGAGACTTTGGCGAGTTCCTCGTCACGAGGAACGGTCGATAACGATAGACACGTGTGGTGACCAGGTGGTAGGCAAATGGTTCAACTCCCTGGACATCCTGACGGAAGAACTGGTCTGGGCCCGTGGCACCAAAGACATACCGATCTCCGCGTGCTCGCTACCCTGCGAGCCAGGTATGATAAAGAAGCAACAGGGTGACACTTGTTGCTGGGTGTGCGACCAGTGCGAGGAGTACGAGTACGTCTACGACGAGTACACCTGCAAGGATTGCGGGCCGGGCAAATGGCCGCACGAGGACAAGAGAGGCTGTTACCAGTTGCCCATTAACCACATCAGGTGGGACAGCCCGTTCGCGATCGTTCCAGCGGTGATTTCGTGCCTTGGAATATTGGCCACCCTCGCGGTCGCGTGTCTGTTGTTCCACCACAGGGACACGCCCGTGGTCAGGGCCTCGGGACGCGAGCTCACGATCATTCTGCTGGCCGGAGTGCTCGTTTGCTACCTCAACACGTTCCTATTGTTGGCAACGCCCACAACCGCCACGTGTATTCTTCAGAGGTTCGGCGTGGGGGTGAGTTTCAGCGCCGTCTACGGCGCACTCTTGACCAAGACCAACAGGATCGCCAGGATCTTCGACCCCGCGACTAGGTCCGCTGTCAGGCCAAAGTACATCAGTCCTGCGTCTCAAGTGTGCATCGCGGTAGCGATCATCGCGGTCCAGGTGAGTCTAGCTACGTAGAGGTACTCTGATCTTTGGGAAAACCTTGAGAATACCCTTCTATTCCTTGATGACAGTTGGCAAAGGGTCAAGGTTCTGCCAAACCTTCGTACAGCGATAATCGATGTCTCAGTGACACGTGGAACATCTTGGTTAAGTTGAGATGTTGTATCGAAGAGTGGCTAGTACGACGTATCTGTGTAGTTCTCGGATAAATGCGTCACTTGGTATGCTTCGGTATAAATCAAAACAAGCGATTGCACTTGGCACTCCTGATAAGAGCGTTCTCCGATGATCATTGGCACTCAAACCTAAGACTACACTCGAGGCTGTTTTGTCGTATCTAGCCACGTGATCAATCATTCCTTTGTTACACGAGATTTCTCTGTCTCCTTTGCTTCGATGTATCTATCTCGTATGACATCGTGTCGAGTGCACTGATCGCTAATGGATCTCTCTTTGATCGACGAGTTAGAATAACGATGACGATTTGCAAGCGGCATTTGTGATTTCATGCGACCAGGTGGTTCTGACGCTGGTGTGGTTAATCATCGAACGACCGGGCACGAGATTCTCCTACCCAGATCGCCAACAGGTGATCCTCAAGTGCAATATCCAGGACATGAGCTTCCTGTTCTCTCAGTTGTACAACGCGCTGCTGATCGTGATCTCGACGGTGTACGCGGTGAAGACGAGAAAGATCCCGGAGAACTTCAGAGAGAGCAAGTTCATCGGCTTCACCATGTACAGTACCTGCATCATCTGGCTGGCGTTCGTGCCAATCTACTTTGGAACCGGGAACGCGCACAAGACTCAGATCACCACTCTCTGCGTGGCTATCAGCCTAAGTGCCACTGTCACACTGGTTTGCCTGTACTCGCCGAAGGTCTACATCATCCTCTTTCAGCCGGACAAGAACATCCGCAGGAAGGTCACCATGGGAGACAAGTCCAAGAAGCAGGGCAGTAGCGCGGGAACCTCTTCTATCACCAAATGTGAGTAGTCATGATTATCGAACAAACGGTTGAAAAGTTGACACATTTTAGCTCGGCGTTGCAAGATTCTCAGCTGATTTTCCACGAAATTTGTTACTTTGGCAGACCTAATAGTTCCAAATATAAGTTCTTCTAAACGTATTAACCCCACGCGTCTTGGAGCCACCGTGAAAAGCCCAAGAAACCTTCCTCTCTGAACAAACAACCCTTCCAACATCTTAACTGGTCTAATAGCTGGGACGTTGAAACAGATTAAAACCCTTTCATCACCAACTGTTTGTAGAGTGTTACGTTTCTCTTGCGTCAGCCTGCAATTTCACAGGGCAGCTAGTTGACAGCGATTGCCTGGTGATGTCTAAAAATGCAGGTCTCGATAATACCACTGACATGTCACGAAGCCATATCCTCTCTGCCAACAACGTCGTGACACCCGACGCCGTGGAAACATTAGGATTTACGTTTAGAATGCAATAAAGCCCCAAGTGTCCGCTAAACGGTGCCATAAAGCTCGGACTGGATCGATCGCCTGGTGCGAATATAATATACCCGGTGTTCCATTTTAAAAAGAAGTCGGTTTTTGCCACGGTCTGGAACCTAGCCGTGGTGATAAAGCTAGCTAATAATGCCTGAATCCGCTGACTCGATCGCAAATTACCGAGCCCCGAAACACGGTAGTGAACTCGGCTCGCTGCCAACACCTTGTACCACCCGCGGCTCCTCTCCCTCTCTCTCTCTCTCTCTCTCTCCACCATCGACGCGTCGTATTTTCTTTGTATACCCCGGCACTTCATAGCGACACGAAGTCGATCAATTTGCAGCTCCTCGAGCTGCTTCGGGGCAAAACAAAGTCCTCGTCGGTTAAACGCGTGAACCCGATCCCTCGTCGCTATCCATCAAAGTGGAATAATCCCGCGGAGAACCCTGTCCGGGATATGAATTTCTCGACGATCCTTGTATCGAGGGACGGATCCACGGGTAATTCCAATTTTCTGCACTATGTCCGATCCAACAACGAGGTGCTCCAGCCTCTGACAGCGATGGGAGCCGGCGAGGCAATCGCAAACAATCGGTGCTCCACGCTAATTTCCTTCCCTCAGCATTGGCATCGAGATCGCGTTTACATCTTCAGAGATGGGCAGGTTTCATGCTCGATTTCGTTCGAGAGAGAAGAAAAGCTGATGGAAGATCAGACGAAGAAGAACAGAGAGGACGAGAGTGTTTAACACGAAATTACACCGGCTTGCTGGAGTGACCGTAATATTTTCCGGCTATAATACTTAATACGAATCCGATTGCCAGTGGCGGATCGGCTCTTGTCCAATTTCCGTATGGAAATCGATTCCCCCATTACCACTGTCTATTGTAATTACGTACTAGTTACACAGCCGGGCGGCGTGCAATCACCGGGGATTACGGCCCGGAGAACGATAATGGCCGGAATTGTTCATGCTGCGCTAAATTATTAAGTTAATTCTTGGATCTGGCGCAGTCACGTCCATTTATCTCTGCCTCTCGGAATATCTTCAGCTTCATAAGCGCGCGCGCGCGCGCGAGAGAGAGAGAGAGAGAGAGAGAGAGAGAGAGGATGAGAGGTAGAGGGAGCTGGCAAGACCTGGGAGACCACCTCTGCTCGAGGATCCCGCTGATGGCACGGAATATGAAAGTTTCATGGAGTCCAGGTGAGCTGGTCATCCGTCGAGTCTGCTGGTATTCGGGAAGTTAAATTGCAATCTCGCTTAATCTTCGTCGTCGGGTAAATCGAAGAAGATCGCCTCTCATGGCTACACGCGTTCAGTCCCGTGGCTGCGATTTACATGGAGTTTCGCGGGGATCGTTAGGCGGTAAGGGGATGAGGTGGCGCTGGCTGCTGCAGTCTCTTTGCTCCTCCCCGTGTCCTACCGGATATTACGAGGTATTAAATTTTCAAAGGATTTAAGTGGCGAGCGTTTCGCAGAGTTGAAAATTCGTTCAGAGGACTGCTGCTGGCTGGAGGATCGATTCCACGTTCGCGTCTTCCCTTTGCATCCTGCAAACTTCTATGTATTCTTGCGAGTCTATGGTCTGTTCGTCTGAGCACAGCCAATGCTGTCAGTGAATGTCAATGGAACTTAAAAATATTCCTCAATTTATGGCTTCTCAGAATTCGATTAGGAGGAAAAATAAGAAGGAATAAGAGACAGGCACGAATATTTAATAACGTAATGAGAAATTAATGTTGACGGTCTTGATGAATCCAATTCTGAGGATTGACAGGGCTAACGAATGCCAAAGAAAAATCCGCATACTCGTGCGCGTAATATTGTGCACTGTTTCGATCAGCTCTAATCATACACTGAGAAATTAATGTTGACGGTCTTGGTGAGTCCATTTCTGAGGATTGACAGGGCTAACGAATGCCAAAGTGGGGAAGAATCCGCACACTCGTGCGGGTAATACCGTGCATCGTTTCGATCAGCTCTAACCATATACTGAGAAATTAATATTGACGGTCTTGGTAAGTCCAATTCCGAGGATTGACAGGGCTAACGAATGCCAAAGAAAAATCCGCACAATCCGCACACTCGTGCGGGTAATACCGTACATCGTTTCGATCAGCTCTAACCATATACTGAGAAATTAATGTTGACGGTTTTGGTGAGTTCAATTCCGAGGATTGACAGGGCTAACTAATGCCAAAGAAATATCCGCACAATCCACACACTCATGCGCGTAGTACTGTACATCGTTTCGATCAGTTCTAACCATACGCTGAGAAATTAATGTTGTCGGTCTTGGTAAATCCATTTCTGAGGACTGACAGGGCTAACGAATGCCAAAGTGGGGAAGAATCTGCACACTCGTGCGGGTAATACCGTGCATCGTTTCGATCAGCTCTAACCATATACTGAGAAATTAATATTGACGGTCTTGGTAAGTCCAATTCCGAGGATTGACAGGGCTAACGAATGCCAAAGAAAAATCCGCACAATCCGCACACTCGTGCGGGTAATACCGTACATCGTTTCGATCAGCTCTAACCATATACTGAGAAATTAATGTTGACGGTTTTGGTGAGTTCAATTCCGAGGATTGACAGGGCTAACTAATGCCAAAGAAATATCCGCACAATCCACACACTCATGCGCGTAGTACTGTACATCGTTTCGATCAGTTCTAACCATACGCTGAGAAATTAATGTTGACAGTCTTGGTGAGTCCAATTCTGAGGATTGACAGGGTTAACGAATGCCAAAGAAAAATCCGCACAATCTGCACGCTCGTGCGCGTAGTACTGTACATCGTTTCGATCAGTTCTAACCATACGCTGAGAAATTAATGTTGTCGGTCTTGGCAAGTCCATTTCTGAGGACTGACAGCGCTAACGAATGCCAAAGTGGGGAAGAATCTGCACACTCGTGCGGGTAATACCGTGCATCGCTTCGATCAGCTCTAACCATACGCTTGGTTGATTTCTATGTTCGATTAGTACGCTTGTAGATAGCCTCACGGTTTTAATGGGCATCCTGGCGCAGACTGAAGCTACTTCTGAGGAGTAGAAGGCTGATGGTCGGTGGTCGCTGCTGGCTCTCACGCAAGCTAAAATCAAGGCTGCTTCTTGCCGGATCGATCAGCCGGAATGTATTATTAACTGCGTACTAATTATCCGTTCGTTACTGGAGGAGCCGAAACACGCAGTTAATATTGCATAAGAGGAAATACGCCATTGCCTCGATCGAACCCCTGAATGCTAATTACCATCGACATTTTTCGCCGAGGCCTGAACACGTCCTTCCTCGCACCGTCGACCAGTATCAACGTTTCTGTCCGTTTTCTCCGTGTCTTTTCCACTCTCCAGCTTCTCTCCTGTTCTCTCCTTCTCCTCTCTTTACCCTCCCACCTCTCGCCACGGACTTTCCCAACCTTTTTTTAACCGCAAACAATCGATACGTCACGCTACTCCTGTTTCACGTGCCTGAACCGATGCGACCGTAATTTTAGAACTTTTCCATTTTAGCCATTTTCATCCTCGGCTCTCTTCGATGTCGCGTCAATCTTCCAGGCTTCTCTCCTTCTCCTCGCCTGACCTTTCCAGCATTTCAGGCTGCAGACTTCAACTCGAAGGTTTAATCTCTCCGTTCATTTTCTGTCCTTTCTCTTCTTTTCCCTTAAATATCAATTTTAATTATCTGAAAGGCGCTCTTCCTTGTGGCGCATTATGGACAGAGATCCGCGACGCAGAAGCAAGGGAGGCTTCCAGACGGTCACCTATCCAAATATCAATTCCAATTAAAGCAGTTTAACTTGAATGATCGCGCAGAAGAGGCGGCTGGCTGAGGGCGCGATGGCCGGCGCCGGCGTTTGTTCTTTCCAACTCGGGGGTTAAGTTTCGAACTAATAGTGGAAATTTTCATTTCCGAGTGCTGTTAAGCGAAGTTTAAACTGCCCTCCTGAAAGCCAGCCCACGCGTACCGACCCTCGTTGCGCCTATTGCAAAATACCCCATTCCCGAACTTTTCCTAATTACACGACAACCGCGTCGTTGTCCGCCCGTATAATTGGCGCCATTTTCACCATCGTCGATTGCAATTCCCTGCACTTCTCCTTTCTTCTCCGTCCCTTTTCAGAAGCTCCCCGTTCATCTTCATACTCTTCAACCTCTTTCCTCTCTTTTAATTGCTACATTCCATGCGAAGATTCGAGTATAATCGCGAAGTGGAACACAGGACCGGCGAAAAGATGTGGCGAAAGAGCGAAGTTCGCTTAAAATGAATTAACCACTTAACACGATTCGCGTCCGCTGTCTTCAGAGCGAGAAGCAGTTAGAGCGAGGGGTTACCACTTAATGGGCTTTAACGGTCAATAAATTTTACACCAGCTGTCGCCACATCCACCTCTGGAAACGATATTCAACGTAATAACCCTGGCCGATCGTAAATGGTACTTTACTCCCATTAAAACCTTCCTTGTCCCCTTTCAGGAGTCCCATCAGTCAAATAGCCAAGTACCTCGTGTATAATCGACGATGGAGATGTACACAGTGTCGAGAATTAAAGCTTCAAGTGGCGGAACTAATTGATACGGCGATGCCTCCAGTTTTTCGGTCTTAAAACCGTTTTCCATTTAACTCACTAGCGCCACCACGGCTCGTAACTCCGATAAATGAATTATTTTATAATCTTCCTTATACGATCCTCCAATTTTCTTCTTACTACTCAAATTGTTTACACGATATATGGTTCTCACGAATTTCTCATACACGACTGTACTCCTGAAATGGGTTAATACTGTTTGAATCTCGCGCCATCCGTGACGTAACGAATCGAAATAGATCGGAATCGTCTTACATGAACGTTGAAAGATTTATTAACTGCCAAAATTTTCGAATTCGACCTACTAATTGGTCCGAAATTTTGAACAAATAAAATAATACTACGAAAGATGAAAATTCGACGACACTTTTACCGCAGGGAACGGTATTTCTAAAACACGTTGAACTCCGATATTATCTGTTTATTGGAACACGAAACGTGTCAGTTCGGGGTCCTCTATTTCCCATCTACTTTCACTATTCAGCAATTGTATTTGCACGCGAGTGGAATACAAAAATCCCGTTTTGCGTTTCAGACACGGACTGCGACTTAACCAGCGAGAGTATACCCCTTCAGAGCGCGCTGACTGCCGCGGTGCAGACGTCCGTAGGCGTGACGGAGATCTCCCTAGCGTCGAACACATCGGGCAAAACTAATAACGAGCAAGTGGCGCAGCTGTAGAGAGCTACTTTCCAGGCCCATAATTCAGATTTTAGGGAGTACGGCGCATCCTGGCGGCCGGCCAACCGATAAGACCTCGAGCCAGCTGAAGAAGGACCACGCGCGAGTGAATAGTGCGAATCCGTGTTAATAAAAAGGGGATATAGTTCGGACCGCGAGTGCGACGGAAATGTTGCGCGACCACAAAGACGGAGAGCGGGTGGGGGAAGAAGTGGTGAAAGTCGCAGAGAGGGGAGGAAAGGGCGGGACAAGGTAGTGCGGGCAGAAAATCGCTGGAGCCGGCTTAACGACGGCACTACCGATTCTTCCTTGCGTGCTGGTTCCTACGATATGCCTCCGATCGACAGCCGTGAGTAAGCTCAACTTCCTTCCACGTAGATCATCGTACGATCAATTGTCCGGGATCCAAGATCCCCGGAGATAACGCGGAAGAAACAGCGAAAAAATACGTGATAATATATGTACATACGCTTAGGATTGCTGTTTATTACCGTACACGTGGCGCGAGATGCGTGGATAACGCGAAACACGAAGAACTGTTTGCAAGCACCATTACGAAAACCTGCGTTGCCTATTATAACCAATTACAACACTGATCGTATCGTCGCTGTCGTCTTCGTTCGCTCATTATATCGAGATCAATCGTATCGCGATCGCTGTTGTCGTTATTGTTACTGTTAAAACGGTTATCTTCGTGAATAATATATGAACGTACACGGACACACGGATATTTATATATATGCCTACATAGGTGCAATACACACGCGAGCTGCTGGCACGAGCCTGAAACAACCGTTTCGGGAAGCAATCGAACGATCGGAAGTCAGCGTCACCGGTAGGCTAACAGGGGAATTAATAGGAAAAATTCGACGATGGCGTTCGAACAATCACTGACAGGTAAATAAATTTTACAATGTTTGTATCGTTTATTGGTTTAACGAGCCGATTAATTGGCGCGATTAAAGCAACGCGTTCGACCGCGTGTCGACGATTAAATTCGATTACGATTAATAATGTCGCGACTGATCGGACGTTTCTCTCTGGTATTCAGTCGACAACACGCTGAATCGTTGCACTGCGCACGCGTGCGCGCGCATGTGCGCCCGTGCGCGAGAGTGGCTCGTGCCAGGAATTCTGTTGGAAATGGTTCGCTCACGCATATGTAATTAGCTTGTTCGAATGATCGACGTTCATTGTCCACTCTTCCCATGTAGATCGTTGACGAAGTAAAGATGAAAATATTTACATTCCGTGAGATGTATATATATTATATACATACTGTTAGATAGGGTACTCTACACACACAGACACACATACACACACACATACTTGGAAACACATTTGCACACAGAGTTCTATCGCTGCGCGGGAACTCGTGCTTTTTCTCAAAGACAAGGTTATGTAAGTTATTAATTTCATTCGCGATTCCACCGATATTGAAAATAAATTGTAATTAAGTAGGGAAAATCGTTATAATTAGGAACGGATCTAAATTTCCACTCGTAATGTATCGTTCGTTTCCCGCCACTATTCGAATTTTTTAACGGACTCGCGATTTTGAAGGACACGGTACCGTTTCGTTTACAAGCTAGATTGTTATTATGTTTTAGCGAATAATTAATATCTTTAACAAGTTGAGCGTTTCAAAGGTTTATTTCTGTTGTTTCTAACAATCGTAAAGCGGTCGTTCGGATCGCAAATACGGAATTACCACCAGTCAATAAAAAGGATCGTAAAAGAAGTGCAATTCGATAGTTCGTCGTGCGACACTTTAGAACAATAACTGGAGCACAGAGAAAACGTGCGAGAGAGGGGGAAACACGAGAGAAAGACTCGGAGGGAAGTGACGATGACAGGAGAAAAATGAATGGCGGAAAATTTTGAAACTAGGCCGACTACGCGCAAATTCAATATACACTTCTTCCATGAACAGTAGACAATAAATAAATCGCTTTAAGGCGAACTTCAACCTGGCTCGACCAATATCAGGATTTACACTCGACCTGTTCGATTAACACCTCAACTTCGTTGACTAAGGCAGCTAGTTTTTACTTGGAGTCACGCGAAGGAGAAACTGAAAAGGGAATGATTAAATAAATGACCGTACGAGAAACCTCGAAGATTATAATTCCAAGATTCACTCGACGATATGCCAAGATTGGATTGTAGATGAGAACGATTAAGATATGGAAATGCTAGACTGTTACATGACTGTTCGTATCTGAAATTGTAATCTTCGACAATTATGCGCGCGAATAATTCAGAGATAACGTTACCAACGTAAAAAACTGTCGTTGTTAAAAAAGAAAATGTAAGGAAATGTTTTCAGGATGGGGAATTATGCTTCGACGTCAACCGGTTAAATACGAAGCATCGTACAAAAAGATAACTTTGTATCTTTTATTATAACACCGAGCATTGAAATAGATTTACCCCGTCAAAAGGAATTCTTGTATTTTATTATTAACTATACCTATATGATTGCGCCTCCTTCCTAACCAATAAAAAAATTAATATCTTCCAGTAGAAACAAAATTTAATTATATATATAATTCCTACCAATTCCCTATATCAGTATTAAAATTAAAAAATTTTTCTACTACATTCCTAATTAGCGACAAATTTATTCCATGCACTGTCGCCATCTAGGTTACTATAAAATTCTAAAGACGGTTGAGACAATATCGACATATAACCTGTAATTTCAATACCGATTTAGAATGATCAGAAAATCTGTCCCCACAGATGACGCAAGCGTCGCGTTCCGTTCGTGACTTATGAAATCCTAACCTAATTTTAGTAACCGATAAATTAGCAGCGCGACACGAATCAAATTGTCCAGCCACTTTTGGTTTCGAGTCCTGAATAACCGATTACACTCGTCACTCTCATGAACTGTTAATTGTAATAACGTCCGATATAACATATGCACGTATGTACATTAGCGGTGTTAACAATTATTTTGTATTTGCCGAATAGAAACACGTCGGTAATAGATAAATTGATGGCGAAGAATGGCGCGCAGCGCGCACTCTTAATTGGATTGCAATTTAGCGACGATCGGTAATCATATCCAGAGAAGAAAATTCAATTCCGTCGCGATGTCCGACCTACATTAACGTGTAGCTAAATTAGAGTGCACTTCTCATACTTCCGAACTCGTTAACAGACGATCAATTTCTATTTATCACTTTCACAGTCACCGACGCGAAGAATACGCGAAGATAGCAAATTCACATGTTTTTCTTAAATATAATGTCACGATAAATATCACTGTTCAATTCGACAATTATGCATCAACTATTGTTTTTCGGGAGACTGTTTTACATTCGGGCGCATCTTAATATCGGGTGACCGGAGTAAGAATATTCATGACCTGTATTTCATGCAGAGCTGAATTTTTTCAGGCAACGAGAAAACAACGAAAATATTCCCCAAGGCTATTGAAATAGAATATGACACGATATACCAATATTTAATCCCACGCGAACATGCCTGATCATACTACATTTAAAAATAATCATTATCTATTATTGGTCTCTTCGTTAATGTGTAAATCAGATGTGCATTATATTTAAATATCATTAAGTACGTGTCAAAGACCCGAATAATTCTTCCTCGATAAGCAATGATTACAAACACTGTCGGTAGTAAACAGAACCTCAAAAAGTGTCGAAACTTCCCGTAATCGTACACCATACAAACGCAATACAACGCGAGGTTTCTTTGATTTGAACAATTCTGTTTTTCACTAATATCATTGGTAGGTTGCGTAATTTCTTGTGACCACGCGAACGAATACATATTTCGATACTAGTAAACGCACACGATAACAAGCACGCTTGAAAGGTCCACACACTGATCTCCGCTATTATCAACGATTTCTCGCTTTTTCGGCAGCTGCGACATTCTCCAGAGGAAAATCTCAATCATAGTTAAATCGGTAAAAATTATCCACGATGGCCCTAACTCGGAAGCTCACAGCCTTAACATTTCTGGTAAGAAAGAATATACGTGTAAAACGATACATCTCGCGAAAAATCGGTTATCGTACCCCAGTGAAATCATGGCGAACATCGTCGTGCAATCTCGGTTATATTCGGTAATCTTCGGTTGCATGTTTACATTCTAATACTGACAGTCACAGCTTCTCTGTTATATACTTTAAAGACATAGTCAATTTATTGCATTTAATAGCGAACAGCTGTGTTCGACAGCTGGGGATACATATGTAGGAAATATAGCAAACTACAAATATTTTGTGTATCGTACTGGCCGATGTGTTTAATCGACGTGGCGCAGGATTTGCTAGTAACCTTGTTATATGCCGTTTATATTGGGCTTGTTGAACCTTTAGAGAGCCAATATATGTTCTACTAGGGAACGTCACCTTTTACGATATACTCCATTTTGTGGTCTCCAGGCAAATTATACGCCAGAGAACTAGTAAAGCAATAAACACGTAACCGTGGCGCAATAAATGAAATTAACACGCCACCTGCCCGTCTGATCAAAGTTGCTAAAAGCGTCCATGTTTTGTATGCGAATACGTAACGAAATTGATAGAGAATTATGACAGATTTCCTATTCAGTTACTATTTGTTTTAATTCCGTTTCAAATGCTAAATCAAATATGACATATATTTGATCATATAGTATTTAATAATAATAAAAATTTATTAAAACATAGGCTTTCCGGTTAGGTTATTCCTACGAAGTATATAACGTGATTAACGTTTGCCGCTAAATAATGTAATCATCTCAATGACTAATTTCTTGTTCAAATATTTATAATGGATATAGATTATGATGATGAAACGTCATGATCGACATTTTTTAACACAGATATCAATAATTACTCACCGGTAAAGATGTTCTCCCGTCAATTTCATTGGGTTGATAAAAGTCTTGATAAATGAAAGTTGGGAAGTAATTACCAATAACTAGTCGATCCAACTTAAATATCGACTTACTCAAAAACACATAACACTTTACTACTAATATATTCACTTATTCGTTTGATTAATTGCACAATTTTTCTGCACAATTTCATTCCCGATGCGCTAACGCGAGTCAAAATTCAAATTAAAGATGGCTGCCGACGCCACGTGAATCGATAGTACAATCGAAATTACACTGATCGTAAATTGATTATCGATAACTTTTACTTCAGCGCGCCAAATTTAAAGTATGGCGTGCCATTCTTTAAACTTCGTTGATTCGATACGAAATTCGTGTTATGAATATTCGATACGCAATCTTTTCGTCTCGACACGTTCAATATAAAATTTAAAATAAAAGATACATGAAATCGCTCAGACAGGAGCAAGGATTTTCAAGTTATTGCTGACGAGTATACAAAGAAATCCATGTTTATTTAGGGTAGGAATGTACGCGATCAAAAATGTCGATTCTTCTCCGTAAGCTGCTTTCGATGCGGAACCGTCGTCCCCTTCAAACTATCGGATATCGGAGAAGGAATTCGAGACGTCACGATAAAAGAATGGTGAGCAAAACAATGAATTTTCCGTTAACCGTCATACCCACGAAGCTTTCGCAATTACCGATCATTTCCCCTCACTACCGACATCAGACTATCTTTTTCTGCAAATACATTATTCGAGAAAAAAGAAATCGCTTCTAGATGGAAATACATAACCTAACATATATACATATCATCTGTCACTCGAGGATAGTACGTTTCAGCTTCGACGTTCCGTAAAGACAACTAAACTGTAGTTTCGTGCATTTGAATGCATAGGTACGTGAAACAAGGCGACCGGGTGTCTCAATTCGATAACATTTGTGAGGTTCAAAGCGACAAAGCATCTGTGACGATTACCAGCCGTTACGACGGATTAATTAAAGCCTTACACTACAAGGTGGACGACGTAGCTCTGATAGGGGATTCATTACTGGACATCGAACTAGATGACGATAATAGGAACACGCATATTAAGCAGTCGACTCTTGACAATCAACAACAGCAACAACAATTGGCAAAGATTGAAAGTAAACACAGTGTCGAAAGCAAAGGGAAGAAACAAGTAACACGGTATGGGTCAGAAAAAGCATTAGCCACCCCTGCGGTCAGAAGGATAGCTATGGAAAACGATATTAACCTAAAAGATGTCATTTCTACGGGCAAAGGTGGCCGGGTACTTAAAGAAGATATATTGTCTCATTTGGAAAAAATTTCTGCTAGCCCCGTAAGAAATATGGTCGAAGAAAAACCAGCGGAGAAGGTGGTACCGATAAAAGGCTATGCCAAGCATATGTGGAAAACGATGACGCAGTCTCTGGTAAGTTGAATTTTCTAATACTAGGAAATATCGCACAAGCAGAAGTTTTTTTAGAAATATATTTTGTCATTTTTTTTCGTAACGAATAAATTTCTTTTGATGAAGTAACATGTTTAAAACATTTTAATTGAACTTACATCGGTTTTATACAGCAGTTTATTTTGTGAATTTTTATATCGTAACATACAAAAAACAAAAATATCCAACTAAATTAAACCTACTTCTATATTATTATGGAACAAAAATATTTTATCAAAATGGAAAGCTGTGCGGATAATATTGTAATTAAGTATGAGGCGGTTGTAATATTGATAAGCGTAGTTTAGGTTAAAATGCAAATCACGCATAAATTTCGCCTATCGCATGTCCCGTGTAGGACTGTACAAGCGGCCGGTAAATAGGTATAAAACAATTTACAATGAACAGTGAATTAATGACGTGTCAAATAAACTAGTTTGCAGATTAAATGATGTGACAACGATGTCATCGATGACAAGAAGCAACAGAATAAAAAGTTTGTAATATAATAATTGTAACGAGAACAAGTGTCACGTTGTCCAGTGAAATTTTACTGTGTCGGGGTTGAAACACGAGAATTACGACGAACCCGATAATAGAAGTGCGTCGTCTAAAAGTGACATTGACACACACGATTGATAGCGATCGATCGAATCCGAGCAGCACTCGGCCCAAATTTCGCGTCAACGTTGACAGACGAAACATCGTTAAAGTGTTTCGGAAAATACGGCCATTTTAATCGTCTCATCCCCCACCCCTTATCTTTGACGTTCAAATATGACGTGTATACGTTTCCCTGTGTGCTAACGTCGTTAATTGCACGCTCCAAATAAACGTGTAATTAAACGAGACCGCTGCGAAAAATGTACGAAACTGACATGTTTACAGAGCATACCACACTTCGTGTACAGCGATGAGTGTAACGTTAACAAATTAACGGTCTACCGAAACGAAGTGAAGGATTCACTGAAAGAGCAAGGCATCTCTTTAAGTTTGATGCCGTTCTTTATAAAGGCGGCATCTAGAGCGTTAGAAAAAGTACCACAACTAAATGCCTGGCTGGACGAGGAAAATCAAGCATTACGTGTACACAAGAATCATAACATCGGCATTGCTATGGATACACCCGAGGGTTTAATCGTACCGAACATTAAATGTGTCCAGAATTTGAACATCGTGGAAATAACAAAGGAATTGAACAGGCTTCAAGAACTAGGACGAAAAGCTTCGATTTCGTCGAATGATTTGTTGAACACAACATTCTCGTTATCGAACATCGGCACTGTAAGTTGAAAGATATTTCTGATGAAACTGGTTAATCAATAGTAAATTGAATGGTATTTACTGTTAAACATTTTAAATTGAATTTCAAAGCTATTTTACATTAAATTTGATTTAAATTTAAATTAAGTTCAAACTTAATTTGTATTTGAAAAAGAATATTATATAATGCTTTGTAAGCAATTGATTTATAACTCATAGATATCGACCTATCGGTCATGTGATATCGATATTTTAAAATAATTTTAATCATTATTTACAGGTTGGTGGTACATACACAAAACCGGTAATTGTTCCTCCGCAAATTGTGATCGGCGCATTTGGAAAAGTACAAAAATTACCACGATTTGATGATGAAGGAAATGTGATAGCTGCAAATATAATGTCTATTAGCTGGGCCGCCGATCATCGAGTAATAGATGGTGTTACGATGGCGAAATATTCGAATCTCTGGAAGTACTACATTGAAAATCCTATATTTTTACTAATAGGAACGTGAAAATGATTTATTTCGAAAATCTCTTGATTTTTGTAAGGTTTGATACATAAAACGCAATAAAAATATGGCACTATTTTGTACGTAAATATTAATTTATTTATTGCTGCACAACCAACTAGGACTTTTTAAGAAAGATAAAATATCTTTTTCTAACATATTCAAAGTGTTACAACTGTATGGTAGTTATTATGTGGTGACCAGTCAAACTGTGAGCATTTTTGTACATTTAATCTATCATACATTGTCACACAAATTGTTTGAATAGGTATTTCAAAGAAATATGCCAAAGAAGTGGTTGTACTGATTAATGTTCTATTTTTAACAATTCGTTTCTTTAATTTAATTAAAAAATTATTTTGTTATTGAAACCACTGGTTAGTCTTACAAAGTTAAGAAATTATTAATCAAGAAAAGAAACATAATTGAAATTAAGATCTGAATAATAAGTACGACCACTTATACACTTGTATATTTTTAATCTTTTATATATACAGTTTTATGTACCGCATTCTTAATCACACATTTCCCGTACAATCAATACATTCCATTAAATGCCACTTAAATATTTGCTCAAAAAGTAGTCAGTCTGTTTAGTAGTTAGAGTAGTAGAAAAGATTGTATATGCATTTTATGGTCCAAAATTTTCTTTTTTAACACTCAAAATATTAATTTATCCTGCAGAAGAGTTTAATTAATTATTTGAGCATAAAATAATATTTAAAACGAGATGTTACATCTTGCTAAGAAATATTAATACACATGCAAAATGCAGTTTGTACATTTGCTACGAATAAACATATAAGAGTATTTGTTGAGACATAAATGCATACAATAAATATATCATTCTTTTCTATCATAACTCTTATAAGTAAAACCGATATTTAAAAAGAACTACACAAAATATTAATAGAAATAGATATCATGAGGTGAAAATACAATCCACCCTCAATTATATTTCTTACTTTCCAATATGACTAGGTATGCAGATTATTGGTAATGTAGTTAGTTCAAAAATTTAAATACCAAACTGCTTTTATATGTATAGAACTACTCATAAAAAATAATCAAAACATATATAATTTTTACTAAGAATACTTTATAATCGAGTATATAGTCATCTAAAATTACTTTCACAAAATATGTAAATCAAAAATAATCTGCTCTTTTTTGTCAGTTTACTTCTAAAATATATCAAAATTCTACGTATTTTCCATAGAAGGTGAGATTCTTATTCACTGAATAAGTTTTACCGGTATATTCGAAGGAAATTTTTCTGAAAATATAACACTTTTTGTTATAATTCTCAATTGTGGAAGTTCTAAGCTTCTCTATAATTTCAAATAATATATTAAGAAATTCGAAGCTCAGATAGATATAGAAGAGAACAATTAATATATATTTCAAGTCACGCCCAACATACGTGCACGCATATACGTAATTTCCATTGTATAGCTACCATGTAACTGTAACATTGTAGTAACTAATTCATTAAAGAAATCATGATTCGTATCTGTGCTTAAATGAATATCAAAAAATATTTTGTTCCAATTTTGAAAGACATCAAAAATAAAATAGGAAAAAAAAATAAACAATATGAGTCAATATTTTTTAAACACATTCTCAGAAATGCATAAAAAACTATATCTCCTAAATGTCCTTATAGCTAATAAAACTAAACAAAATTGTTATAGAGTATGTAAAAAAAAAATGCATAGATCAAAAGAATGTGCGTAGTAATTGTTCTGTATATGCGAGGTAAAGTGAAGTGCAATATTGTTATCTTGTAAAAGTTCTGGGATACAAATAATGTACTGGTTATAACTTATATCTTGACATGAACAGTTCACTTGTGCTATACATCATCATACAACCTTTCTAAACATTTATCTCACAGCTCTACTCCATTTACATGAATAACTTTCATTTTTTTTTTTTCAGTATAACTTCACTAACATAGAAAAGTAGTGTTTTATCTTACGGTTTGACATTATTATGCCATATCAATAACTGTTGTTAAAAAAACAGTTTTTACAAGGTACATACATTTGTTCCTTTACCACAGAACGAAGCAAATATAATAATTCACAACCATAACAATAAAAAAGATCTCATTTTATCAAACACTTAACAGTTGACTTTGTGATAAGAAAATTTTTAATATGTAATAGAATAAACTTATCACACAAAACAATGGCAAGCAAAAACATAAAATTTTGTAAATAGGGTATTACTTCCAATAAGTAATTTTTCATTAAAAAAAAAAAAAAAAAAAAAAAAACCAGCGGTAAAACAATTATCAATAAAATTACGGCACATAGAAGAATATCTCCCCTTTTTTATATTAGCAAGATTCTCACAGATTTGTATTTTAAGTAAGACCGAAGTATACCATTTGTTAAATAAAAACTGCAAATAACATAAATAAATTAACTGTGGAACTTTTTATACTTTTAAAATCTATGTATTAAGATAAATTTATAGAAAAATCATTTCTACATATACAAAATACTTCACACAATATCTCACAAAAGAAGTGTCTGTAAGAATCCCGTCTAATCGACAGAGATAATGTTTGTATATAATATATATGTGTAATATATATTCACTTTTTATATAGTATTTTTTTTTTTTAATGTATACGATTAATAAATAGTATTTTGTTTCTGGCACATTGTCAGCTCTCTGCAAGGAGAACAAGTGAGTTGACACAATTACAATCAACACCATAAAACAACATAAATATATGTATCCTTTATGGAGTTAGAAATTCGGGAAGAAACTTATTGTTCTATAATTGTTTGCTAAATAGTTCCTATTTTACCTATTTAGGTGGCCAAATAATACGAGTGAGCTGTGGATTGGCCCATGAAGAAATTTTTCTTAAAAATAACTTTTTTATACATCACATTTTAAATTCTTTTCTCATCGCAAATTGTGCAAGGGAACGTATTTCTAATCTATATTATAATCTAAGAACCGAATTCTTTTCTGAATTTGTTATTGTTCCTTTTAATAACAAACTCGGTTCACGAGTCGAAACCACTGGAAGCTAGAAATGTTTTTCTCAAACAAACGCCACTACTTCCACCTTTGGTAACGCTGTTTCAATCGTACAATACAATTGTTCAATAGTATATCGAAGACAATACGATTTACTATCACGAAAACAAGCGTTCAGAACAAACAAAATGGAACTTCCGTTTTCTTGTATGTTTGTAAATATGTTGATGTGTACTAATGTTAGTTAAAAAAATATATACACTAAAAAAACTTACATGAGGTGTGTGCAGTCGGATGTACATAAACCGATCACTAGTTACAAAGAAAAGAAAAACCATTTCTTTTAATTGGGTGTCATTGATGACGGCTAATCATCATGGATACTACTGGTCCGGTCGCTCGAAGGACAGCCACAGCATTATTGTGATCAGATTTAGTGAAGTCTATACCATCAACTTCTAAAATCTTATCTCCTGGTCGGAGTGTACCTTGTGCTGGACCATCTGGATTTACCTTAGTCACAATGATTCCCTAAAGTAATTAAAACTGGTAATTAAAATGTACAAAATTTTACTATACTCATTTTAAGAATTGTGAATATTTACAGTTTCGGCGCCTGCCACTCCACCAGCTATACTGAAACCGAGACCCGGATTTTTTTTCACTTGAACAGGCAACTGTAAAGTTAATAATTACAAATGTTTATCATAAGTAATAAAAACAAGAAATCTAAGAGAAAGATAAAACATACCACATTAGCGTTTTTGTGCGGCCCGAACATCCATTTAAATCTGGGTTTCCTCTCTGGATTTAATAACTCATTTGGTCCAGCAACTTTGTACTTATCAACGTTAGGATTCGTCACCTCATTTGGAGATTTATTATTTACTAAGATTGGGGTACTTCGACCAGAATTAGCTTCATTTTTCATGTTGATAGAACTGTTCATATTCGACGATGGTTCGGTAGATAAAGTTTTCGAAATTCCTTCTGCGTTTGAATTTGCAACCAGATTTGAATTTATCACATTCGTGGATAAATTATCACAGGAAATATTGTTATTCGAGATAGTTCCATTTACTGCTTTTTTTGATCGATCTGAAACTTTGGATTGCGTAGAGAGTGGACTCCGATATTTTTTTCCGGTTATCGGAGATGTTGGTATACACGATGCATTTAACAATTTTAAAGTTTCACAGTCTTCAACAGAAGAGTTTGTACATTTATTCGATAAATCACTGCTTGAAATAGAATTTGTGCTTTCTAGATGTTTTGTCTTTAAAATGGGAATTCTACTTGGCTTTAATGATCGATCTCCTTCTGAGGATTGCTCTGGGTCAATTGATTCTGATAACGCATGTGACTGATCGGTACCAGTAAAAGAATTTACATTTTCATTGTTATTTGAAGCGTTTGTTGCATCTGTATTATTCAATGGAAATTTATCATTGTATAAACGTTCTTCAACTTTAAATGGTTCTCCATCAAAATTTTGTATTTGCGTTTCCTGCGATGTCTTTGAATTCGACATATTAAAATCAGTTTGTGGAGGAGAGATTGTTGACGAATCTGATTGAACTGCTATAATGATAGAATGAAAAGTTCATATGTATATTATAATTCTAAAAACAATAATAAAATATGACATACATTGATTTAACTGTTGAAAAAGTGCTGCTTTTTTTGAAAATGCAGCAGCAATGTGATATGGCGGTGGGACAGGTGGAACTTCATTTACTTTCGGCAATTGAACATGATCAGTATTCTTATTACTTGTGGCAACAGGCATATTCTTATAAGGCTCTATAAATTTCTCTGATTCAACAATTTTTGCTGTGTTTGCTTTCGAGTATTCATCTGGTTTCCAAGTAGAATTTACATAATCTGCTACTGTTGGAGGCTTGGAAAGATACTCAGACGTAGGATTACGAATATATTTTGCTTCTCGGATATCCGGACTTTTTTCTTTTGCAAGTACAGTCTTGTTCGCTTCATCAGAAGATTCTTCCGAAACAGATTGTTCTGTTCCAACATCCGTAGGACTATTGTTCTTGCATCCCTTTGCTGTATGACGTTCGGTTGGCGATAATGATGAATGTGAACCCTAAAGGATAGAAACTTTTAATTATACAATATTTAATTCTTTTAAATTTAATATTATCCTTATCAAATTTCATTTTATACCAATTTAATCTTCTTTTTAATAAGGACATTTTTTTTTATTCATTTCACTATTTTATTTGTTTTTAGTTATAATTTAATTCAAATTGTGATATAACTTTGACATAAAAATTATTAATAATTACTCTGGTATCTAATAAATTGCTTTTTTTTATAATTCTTTAATGAATACCTTATTAAATAAACTTTGTGAAAAACAAGTCCCAGATTTTGAGGTGAAGTCCAGAGTAGTTGTAGCAATAATAGCTTCTTTGATCATAGTCTCCTGTTCTAAATGCATCTGTAAGTTTCAATTAGCAATTTTTTTGTGTTCTAAATGTTAATTATGAAATAATACACATAAAAAGGAATGTAACAATATTACTCATAACATTCAAAGTTATGTTCTTGCTACTTTTATTTGATAGTGTTTAAAAACTTTTCTTGAAAAACTAATAAAAAAGATGACAAATGAACATAAGAATAGAATAAACGCGTATCATAATATACTTACTCTTTGATCATGTGCTGATTGATGATGTAAATTACGGGCATGCCTAGCAAGGTTGCGCAGCTCTTTAGGATAAGGAGTCGGTGCTCGATGAAGTTGTCTAGGGATTTCAGATTCTACTTCAGCAGCAAAACATATTCTTTTTCCAGTACCAACGATCGAACTCGAAATTAATCCTACAGCCGGCGTTATTTCTACATTTAACAAATACAAATTTACAATTAGTTATTTATTCACATTAAAACTTTTAAAATGTTTTTAAAGAAGGAAGATTTCAGTAGACACATTTATCAATATATACTTTACCATTTCATTCTTCATCTTCTTCCTCATTATTCACTAGCAGCAATAATGTATCACATTTTATAGTTATAATTTATAAACTTACTGTGCTACTAATATTTTGAATAAGTAAATAAAACAAATAAAAATACTTACGCTCAAGTTCTTGCCGTGGTTTTTGTGGGAGCATGAAGCAACTTAACACCATCATATCTTCTTCACAATTAAATTCCTGTTGTAATGGCACTAATGGTTGACTTTGATTGTCGCTCAGCCATAATGCTTTCAAATTACTCAAGTTCAACATAGAAACAGGCAAAAATTTGATACAATTGTTTACAAGATTTAGTACTTTTAAAGAGGATAGATGTCCCAATTCAGGTGGGACTCGAGCTAAATTATTTGATCTTAATGATAGCAATGATAATGCAGTGCAACTTCCAATCTCTGGTGGAAGGCATCTCAAGTAATTATTGTCTACATTTAAACAATGTAATTTTCGCAGAAGTCCTATTGATGATGGCAAATATTCAAGAAAGTTCTTAGTAACTATAAGCTCCTCTAAGCTTGACATCTGTCCAATGTCATTTGGCAGTGCGTTTAATTGATTGTCATCAACTTTAAGAGTCACAATTGTACGTAGATAGCACAAAGAATCTGGTAACTGATAGATTTCATTTGATGAAAGATGCATAATTGAAATGTCTCTCCACCCTTCTACCTCTGATGGAATAATATGAATTGCATTCATTGTACAATCAAAATGATTTAAACGGTATAGTTGATTAATGTTGAATGGTATGCGTCTAATATCATTACCATCTATCCATAATTCAGTGAGATTGATAAGATCCCCAACAACTTCAGGCTGAAAAAATAAAACTAAGTCAATATACATAAACTAATAAATAGCAACTATAACAAATATAAACTTACCAATTCTGTGAAATCATTATTACCAATATCAAGTCTTTGCAAATTTATTAAACGGCTCATACTCTTTGGTAATGTCATCAAGTTATTTTCCCTAAGTTCTAATGTTCTCAAAGCTGAAAGTCTTCCAAAATTTGCTGGTAGATATTCTATGTATGCATCATTTATATACAATTCTCTTAGACCAACAATATGTGTAATAGCATCTGGGAAACGTTCAAATGGGTTAACACTGATATCTATAGAACGAAGATTTTTACATTCTTTTATACTGTCTGGTAGTTCTTTAATACCTAAAAAATATGACTATAGTTAATATAAAACATTACTTATAAATAAAATTCATGCATAAGATTCTTATGTACATACTATTTTTACTGAGGTCTAAATATTCCAAGTTAATTAGTGATGCTATGGCGGGTGGTAACGTGGTGACTTCATTATCACTGAGAGAAAGTACTCGTAATTCATGGCACTGAAACAGTGGCCTTGGAAGATCCTTTATCTAAAATAAAATGTTGAGTTAATATACTTGAATATTGGGAACATAAATGTATCTAAAGAAACAATTATTAATATCTATATTTACTCTATTAGCATCAAGATAGAGTTTTTCCAATGTTCTCTCATAAATGAACACGTCAGGTGGTACATCATAAAGATTACAATTATTCAAGTGCAATTCACATATATCTTCTTCTTGTGTTCTTAAACATGCAGCGCACTGCCACCAAGCACTACCCATTTCATGTATAACTATGAGCAAATCTTTTCTTGAATTATGTACTTTATAATAATTATAATCAATGAAATTATGAAGTATCAAAGAATTATTCTTATTACCTATAATACTTCAAGAATGATTCTTCAAGATCATCGATTTATCCGTGGTAAGAGATAGATCCGTAAACAAAACGAGAACTCACTAAAAATTATTACTGTATGGTATTTTTGAAAATCATTCGGTTATCGATGCATCAATGTTCGGTTTTTTACGTGCCGGCTTCGTCAGAGTTATTTCTTGTCGCATCATCGCGAATACTGCGATACGCGATGCACTTGTCGAAAAATTCCTTTCTTAAATAAATGAGAATAATTCACAAAGCGTAACGATGTGCTGATTAACACTGGTTATATGTCAAGAGATGTAGGTTATTCGATATTTCTTTTTAAGGATTTCTTTCATGAATATATCTCACTGTTTATTTATTACACATCCTATTCTTTCATAAACTCAACAGAATAGTGACAGATCACGATCCAATAAAGCAACAAAGAACGTTTCCTCGAATGGATAACAATTTGACACATTTGTGAGAATCGAATAAGCATACGACTCTGCTATTTATTGAAAAACCTTCGATGAGACTAATGGTTCGTTCATAATGTTCCGACGTTTTACCTACTTTTAAACAATAGTTGGTAGATTTTTATGTGACCAATGTAAGGTAAACAGATTTTATTAAAGTTTATATTAAAAACGTGGTATGGTTCGAATACCACGTACTTCATATAACGGATCGTTATTGAATGTTATTCGTCTATGTAACGGCATGAATCAATTGTAGCGCGAATTTTATCGTAAAAAATGAACGCATTCTAAATTTGCGATATTTGTCATCATTTAACATGAGAATGCGCCTTAGCAAGCACAAAATCGACAGCGACAAGTGACGTTACCACTCGTACACGTGCGCAGAAGTTAATTAATGGATTAAACGTGATGAAGGTGGAAGACCGAACGTCGTGATGTGTTATGACAAATATCAAATTTGTGGTATCCATAAATAAAAGAAACGTCACAGTATATTCAGGCGTTCATTTATGTCAACTGTGTAATCTTCATACGGAGATTCATGAATGCAAGGTAGGATTTTAAAAAAAAGGCAAGACCGTAAACAACAGGAAAATGAGTTCTGGCGAATGTAAGGGTAGCGAGAATGAGGATATCGAAAATTCAGATGAAAGTGACAGACCATCGGGCGAAAGATGGGCGCCCGTTGGTGCAAACGACGGTGATAATGATTTCACCGATGAATATAAATATGTCGATAATATGGAGAAGTAAGTACTTAGTTTTTTACAAATACAACAAAAACACTGTTTACTTGTATAATCATCTATATAACTTAGGAAGTAAATAATAAAAAACTCAATTTTATAATCGGTTTTAATGTTCTCTACTAGTTTATCATATGATATGGAAAGGTTAAAATTACTTGAAGAAGAACAGGAGATGCTTAATTCATCTCTTATAGCATTGACTACTCACTTTGCCCAGGTATTAAATATATTTAAGATTATTGTTTATCATTGTTATAAAATATTGTTTTAATGTTTATAATGTGGCTACCGTAGGTTCAATTTCGTTTAAGACAAATTGTAGATGCACCTGCAAATGAAAAAGAAACTTTGCTCAAGGAATTAGAAGAATTTGCTTTTAGAGGAATACCAGATGTTCCAAATAGTTTATCACTTGATAGCAGATCAATTACACCAACTTCTCCAATGTCCTGCAAGCAAAGTGTAAGCCACATAAAAACTATTGTACCTATATTTCACTAATTTTTTTTAGATGATATTATATTTGTCTTATTTTAGTCTTTTTATACATTTTATTTGTGTTTACATTTGCTTTGCTTGTAAAATATAAGCTTGCTTGTACATCTATTTTATATATCTTTTGATTATTTTAAATATTATTTATATTGTATTGAAAAATAAATATTGTTATATATGTTATCGTAGCATATATATTTATTAATATTCTATCATAAATTTTAATCCTTATTTAATTCCTGAATATTAACATATGTATAATATAATGATTAAAAAAAGGAAGATAGTTGAATGCTTTGTATATACCATTCAACAGATATCTGGAGTAATAAATGATGTTGATGTTGAATCTAAAATGGCATTACAAAGAACAAAACAAAAAGAATTAATATGTCAACTAAAATCTCAGTTAGAGGACCTAGAAAAGTATGCTTATGAAACTGGTGATGCTGATTTACCACAAAGCATGATATTAGAGAGACAGAGTATTATAATCAGTAAGTTTTTCAATAGAAGCATCTATTTCGTTGAAACCTAGGCTGATATTCTTATTCTTTGCAGACCATTTAAAAGAAAAGTTAAATTTCAATGTTGATGATCTTTGTAAATTACCAGTTGATGACTTAAGATGGCAAGTAGATTATGCTATAAGTCAGGTAAATCATTTTAAATAACAGGATAAATTGCTAAGAAAATAGTGATAGATAAATTAAGAAAAAAAATAACAAAATTAAAAAATTATTTGCAGATTGTTAGTCCTTTGAAAATGAAAGAACAATTAGTATCACAGTTAAAAACACAAATTGCAGATTTAGAACGTTTTATAAATTATCTTCAAGGAGAAGTTAGTACAGAAACTTTGGCATGCACCTGTGCTTGCCCAGTACATACCAGTGGTACTGCTGGTTCTACTTCATATTCTAAACATGCGTTTAACAAAAAGACAGAGGAAGAAAGTAGGACAAAAACTTTGAACACTGTTAAGAAAGTTGTAGCTTTGTTGCATATGTTCCTAGTATCGCAATTAGGATGTGGTAGCGAACGAGTTCGAAGAAATTTAAAAAAAAATTCTATACATAATTGGCGCGATTTAAGAACAAGATTGGATATTGCAGTGGAACATGTTATAGAAACCATTGCCGAAACTGAGCGTCACCCGGAAGACGATGATTTCGTAAATGAAAACGATTATGCTTCAGATTCAGATTCTATGTCACATTGCAATGCCAGAGTAACATTCGCTGTAAGGAAGCACCTAGCTACTTCCATTCGTGATTTAATACAACATGGTTTAATGTCTGATGCGCGTTCTAATAGTGTAGTACCGTTTGTGGGATGTTTTCCACAGAGAAATCCCTCTGCCTCTAATCTAATGCATGCATGGGAACTAGTATTGAAGTACTATGAAATTAAAAATGGTCATCGTTATAATTCTAGTCCAGCACAGAAATTATCTCAAAGTTTTAATCTTGATCTAGCAGGTGGCAGAATTATTTCTCCTAAACAGGTACTCATTGTATGCATGATAATATTTTCTTCGTTTATAACCGAACTTATGTTCGATTATAATTAAATCTATATTTTTAGAGTCTATTAACAACAATTGGGAATATCATTGCTTCGCACAGCCCGTATAAAAGAAGTTACGACTCTCACTTCAAAGCATTTATATGTGCATCTCTAAAGTGAGTAAACGTTATTACAGATCGTCTTGCTAAGACGAGAATGTAAGATTCATGTCTCTCTTATTGTAGCGCTAACAGACTTGTTGCTTGGTTAAAACTTATCTTGCAATGTCAATACCTTCTTGAAAATCATTATATATCGTGGAGTTACGTTATAAAAACAGGTAATTAAAATACTAATATGCAGGTAATTATTTTTATTCCAGTAGATTTTAATTGGAATATATCTATAGTTGCATTATTATTGTTACAAACAGGTTTTCAAGATGCATTTCACACCCTCGACCGTCTTACTAACTACAAATTTGATCTACCAGTTGATTTAGCAGTAAGACAGTTTCAGAATATAAAAGACGCATTTTGATTACGGTGAATATCAACGATCATAATTACGGAAGTACATAGGTACTTACTTTTAGAAAACTACACACAAAATACCAGATACTGCAATTACGTAAATAACAAACAGTATATTTTAACATTATATCGACGTTATAATAGTATATCACTTTTTTATAATTTTCAAGTATTATTTTGTAAAGAACATTTCTTTGCCATTTTCCGAATATTCATTATTAGATACTTTTTATCATGCAATAATGTAGCTGTAATGATTTAAAATATCAGTATTTCGGACCTGAATTTTCAGGATTTAGATTTTTGATTAATATGTTTTAAAAATATAAAACATTGTTGTGCAAGGAGTAAAAAATTATTCATATGTTGTATGTGAAGGTGTCAATGACGATCTTATATAATATATAAAGTACAGTACAGGTAATTATACAATGCTGCCTGATACAACATGGACTGAAATATATTATCTAGTTATTTTGAACTACATTTTTGGACATTGCACGTTTTCGATAAATTAATAAATTTGAGATACTAGAACTTTAATTTACTCCATTTAAAAAATAAGCTTATAAATTAAAATCTGATATATAAAGTTGAAGAACGTGGTTTACACTGTGATTAAACATAAGATCTTAATACTAAATTTCATCACAAGGATAAAGGAGTCATGTTACTTCATGTTAAGAATTAATATTTATCAAAAACCAAAGAATAAACCAAAGTTGTTTTTAATACTCCATAATTGAAATAAGTGCATTCCTGTAGTTTTTAATTTTAATATCACTTTACACGTTGCAGTTGATAGATATATAATTTTATGGTAACATATCATTGAAGCAGTAACTAATTCTAATAACGATGTACCAATGTACGCGTGTATGAACTTCGATGTTGTAATATATTGTCATTACTTTATCTTCGTTGCATTTTATAAAATTTTATAATTGATTAATATAGTGCAAATGTTATTTAGTTATCAAGAAAAAAATTATATTCTTTTTTTGTTGTACAGTTAATTGAAAAAATATCAAATATGATGTTTTTCTATACAGCAGCAAATTACTGTTCCTAATTTTATGAACATTACTTCATAAGGAAAATATAGATTTCGAAACATCAATCTTATTAGACACGTGCATTACTTTCAAATAATAGTTTGCTAGACGTATATGCAGGTATATGCAGGTATATGTGACTATTGTATCGCCTACATAAGATATTTCACGTGTAAGGTAGCATTAAGAATGTTAATTGTATTATATAATATAAATATCTGCTTTTTATATACATAACAATGATTTAACATTAGTTTATTGAAAAAAATATGCGGAAATATATTTATGGAGCAATGTACTTGATTTTGTAATTCACTGTCCCTGTATTCCATTCTATATGCAAATAAAGGAGAAAACTATAAAATATATGAAATTGGTTGTTTATTCCTTGTAAAAGTTGTACATCAGTAAAAGTTTCATAGCAGATTTTTTCAACATGTTCGTAGTATTCCATTGATAATTCCTCGATATTCGTAGTAGTAAGGTACACAATCTTTACTAGCTCTTTAGTTAAACATGATTTTTTATAGTAAAGTAAAATGCAACTCTCAAATATTTTTTGCACGTGTATGAATTTCATTAAAGTTTTAAAATAGAGTATCGAGGAATCTCGATGTTTTTACAGATTAGATTAGTTTGTTGTACATAAAATTCAGAATAGAGTCTACCATTGTCAATAACACATCTGAACTCAACATAGTATATAATACCAGAAGTTTCTTGGTCGTAGACAATACGTATCGTACACGTATTATCGCAATATCATATTATCACGTACAACTCTACTTATACAGGATACAAATACACAGACGTAAGAGCACAGACTTGGTAAAAGTTCTTTTGTCTTCTTCACAATATAAAAGTCGTGTATAAAAAGATTTGTGGAAGAGCATTTGAACATTGCATTCACACTTTTTGCATATAGTATATCATATTTATTAATGCTCAACCAAATGAATTAATTGCCTTTAAAAATCAATTGGATAATGACATTCATTAGTTACATATATCTATGTATCTAAGCATAAGATACAACATTCACAAATGAATATGCTCTTTACAACATATAAATCTCTGTGAAAATACTGATGAGTGACACATCTATTGGAATGCAGTGATAAAGAATAGCAATAGGTAGTTCTAATGTTACTTAGAAAAGATTAAATTATATCACAAAAAGTTGGAGTAAAAGTAAAGTACTATAGTTAGAAGAATTCAAACTAAGTTCTGCTCCATTTATAAGAACTTTTTGTATTTAATAATATTGTATACCTATAGAACAAATAATATTTTAAATTAATTCTATGTTACAAGTAAAACATTCATTTAAATACCGTTTACAGCACAATAATGATTTACTTTCAAACCTTATTTATAACAGTTGCACAGTATACACTCACTTTTTTTTATCTTTTTACTATAACATTTGTCATAATAGCTTTTAATGATATTATTTTTCATACATTAAATAGGCTATGTTTTTTGGTACAGCAACGATCTAACATCTAACAATTAAGGACAGTTTACATATAACGTTGCTAAATATAAACCCACCTTTTTTTTATAGCCAAATTGTTCACATAGTTATATAAATTCAGTATTATCTGTTTTAGGCTTTAGCAAAACATTGTTATTTTTTTATTTGCTTTATATATATTTATATATAGGAAAGTTTGTCTGTTTTCCATTAACATAATGTCTGCTTCTTCAAATATTTTTATTTCAAAAACGTAAAAAAAAATCACAAATATACCCGCTAATGCATGCAATTACACACATAAATATGTATGCACATAGATATAATCAAGTAAACTGGTACAACCAAGTATCTTTTATCAATTTTTCATAAAAGCATTACGAAAAAATGAAGTGAAAGCAAAAGTCTTTCATATTCACAGGTAAGATAAAAATTATGTCGATTAAAAAATGCATTATCAGTCTTTGCATTTATAATCATGAAAATAACAAACATTAAAAATTTATGTAAATAAATGCGTCCATAACTATTGAAACGAAAAACGATACAAAAAATCCACAATCCTTATTAATTATTGAAACTTTACCATTTAAACTTAAGTAAGTTTTTTTTTGGCATTAAATAAATATTTAAAGCATCATTATTAAGTTTGTATAAGGAAATTTTATGAGATCTTTTAAGAAGAGCAACAGCAATACTGTATCTTTTTATAAGCATACTTATATTTTTTGCAAATATAAACAAGCTAATAGTTAATATTAATAGCAACACACAAATTAATCTATTATTTGCTTTGAACATTGAGTTTTGAATTCTTATTATTTATATGATAAACACTATAATCGTAGTACTACCACTGAAGTCTTTGTATCGTTATGTTTCATTCTTAGCACTAGATTGGACTGTTATGTATATGTAGTCTTTTAGTGGCAGTTAGTAACATGTTTTATTATCGTAATATTCGTTGACGGAATGCTTGAAATCACAACAGAACGTAAATGCAAGATCGAAATTTGTATGTGCAAAAAATCACTCTGAAGCACTCATACGGTATTTTAATTACATATATGTGTTCTTCATAGATTACCAGTCTTCAGTTCTTTATAAGTTTAAATAAATTATTAATAAATAAATTTATAGCAATCTCATAATCTATAAAAGCATTACGACAATTAGTTTAAAGATCATTTAAATTTAATAATTGTAAACATGATTGAGAAACAATTTGAAATTTTTCACTTTACAAAAAAAATTGATTTTAATAGTGTACATGTATATTTACAAGAACTGGGTGCAGCTCAAATAAAAAGTCTTTTCCATTTATCAATTTGGCATGATGCATTCATGCAATTATTTTTATGAACATAATAGTAGCCAATATGTGTTACTATTAACACGTTTCTCATAAATATTTCGATCAATTCATTTAATAAGGCTAAATAACAAACATAACAAAGGCAGTTGTGTGTAACATGTAGTATAATTTACCACTTACTTACTTTTACCTTTCCATAAATATCATTTACTCCATAATTGTATGAATAATTGAATTCCCTTCAGGGACAAATTATCATCAGACTCAAACGTGAATACGTAATGGTACACTATCCGATTTATTTTCTGCTTCCAGATTGTATTTTATAGTATCAAGGGTATTATAAATTGTCTTGAAGGTAGGTCTATCCGATGGTCTCCTATTCCAACAAAGCTTCATTAGGTCGTATATTGCTGGAGGAGTATTTTCGGGACATTGGAGAACGTTGCCTTCCTTAATATATTTTACAACTTCTTCGTGTGTCATTCCGTAATAAGGCTGAAGCGCGAAACTAAATATTTCCCATAAGCATACTGCGAACGCCCATACATCAGATTCGACGGTGTACTTATTGTACAATATACTTTCTAAAGGCATCCATCTAACTGGAATAGCATCTTGTTCATCACCTTTATAATAATCTTGCAAATAAATCTTTTGCGATAAACCAAAATCTGCTATCTTTACTATCATTTGGTCATTGATCAAACAATTTCTCGTTGCAAGATCGCGATGAACGAATTTTCGATCTGATAAATACACCATTCCAGATGCAACTTGAAGTGCGATGTTAATTAAATCCATGTGCGACAAACGAGAATCCGTGAAATGTTCATCCTTTTCTAGACTTCGAATGATATAATTCCCTGGTGAACAAGATCGTAGAAATTCGTTCAAATCACCACGACCCATGTATTCGAAAAGAAGACACATTGGTCGACCTAACGCGCACACGCCTAACAATTTGACGATATTTGGGTGATCAAATTCGGCGAGAAGGCAAGCTTCTCGTTCAAAATCTTTGAGTAGATCTTCCGATGCTTCTTCTTTTAACATTTTTACAGCAACATTAGTAAATTCTTCACCCGGAACAAGGCCAGGTGCTTTTGCTTGAAATACTCTACCAAAAGCACCCTGTCCCAAATCTCGGACATAAATAATATTATTTCTCGGAAATTCGAGCTTTTCTAATTTCGGATTAAGTTGCGCACTCGTTTTATGGTATGCGTCGTTGCTTGGCAATTTGTCCAAATCAATACTGACATACTGGAAATTAAATGTAAATGAATAATATAATATACACATCATTATCAATTTAATTCTAAACAGTGAAATAACTTTAAAGACCAGACACAGTAATATTTATCTGGGCAATACATCTTCACATTATACAATTTGATAATACAATCAATAAAAAGTAAATATTTTTAATATACCTGATTATCTGTGGGATTATATCCTTGATGTCTTTTGTGAAGTCTATGACTTAAAATAATGGATAATAATGTTCCAGCTATAATTACAAATCCTAATGATGACAATATCAATATAAACATTGGAGTAAATAGTGTATCCATTACCAAGTCTTTAGGATTGACCTCCAAAACTTCAGTTGTCACATTATCTGCATTAAGAATTATATATATGAAATAATCATACAATTGGATGTATGAGATACATAAAATATTAAATACCGCATATAGGAATATCACAATGTTGCCATCGTGTATTAGGATCCATGGTAAAACACCATGGCATAGGTTCTTCTCCACCTGCATTTCTACAATAATTTTCTCCATAACGAATCTGAGGGAAGACATCTGGTGGTCTATCATGATTCTGTGGCATTTGTGCATTCCATGACTGACAATCCAAGCCCAATTTTGTCTTATTAACTTTGCCCATGTAAAATCTACCATTGCCTTTGACACAATCATCTACAATAATATATGTTTAAAAAGTTAAATATGTCAATATTTAATAGATTCTGAAAACATTTTAAATTTGTTTTACATGTGACAAGATCTTCATTCATATCAGTCAAATGAATGTGAGAACAAGTCATTTTTCCTTTAACTACTTTTGGTAATGATTCACAATCTGGTAATGTGAAATGTCCTCTTGAGCTTATATAAATATCCCTCTGTTTGTTATCCTCTATCACTGCCCAGTCATTAAAACAGAATTGATGACGTACTGCCATACAATCTTCATAACATAATGGTAAACCAACTGAGTTATGACATTGTGGAAAGGCATACATACATAGCATTTTCTAAAAGATTAAATGTATTTTTTGTATTTATTTATCTCTTTGTTAACTTAAAATATTAATAGTTACCTCTGCAGCTGAACGACATGGCTCAACAAGTCGTTGTATCAATTCCTCCCATAAATTAGTTGTAATACGTTCATTTAACCATCCTGCAGGACTATCATTGGAATCATTGTACCATACTTTCCCAATTCCATTTAAGTATTTCTTACAAATCTTTCCATTATATGGTGCACAATAACCTTGTGATTCGGGTTCTATGAAAATTACAAATATGAATTAAAAGTATTTCTTATGGAGTAAAATGTTTTATTCGTATGAAATACATACTTGTCTGTGCAGAACTAAAATGCAAAATAATTGCTACCAGAGAAACAATCCAGAACATCATTATTTATATGTACAGCTTGAAGGAATGTCAAGAAAGAATATCACATGTTTAAACAAAAAATTTGTCTACATGAGAAATACACTGATGCCAAAACTCATTTAATTTATACTAAACTGCATCAAATCCATAGTGTAAATTAAATATTTTTTCATACACAGTCGATTCTGATACTCCATTCTATGTGTTAATTAAACTTACACGCGTTTTTCAGCGTATTCAATGATCACGGAATGAATATTACGATTATTGATTGTAATTTTTTAAACTGTTTTCGATGGTGGCAGTACGATAATTTAACAAAAATAGAGTCAATGAAACGAGTTATTGCATTGAACACATAATTTGTACAACAAGCAGAATTAAACTGTCCTAAGAAGAGCGTTGTTTTTCTCTATCATGTGTGTAATTAACTAATACAGCCGATTCTTCTCTTTATTTACAACATTGGTACAATGAATAAATGGTAAATTTGCTCGTTTTGTAACGAACGTAAGTAGTTGCTAATCTAACAGAAATTTGGAACTAGGACTGTGTTTTCATTCGATAATCGAGAAATCGTTCAATTTTCTTAAATATATTTTAGCAATTTATATAGTATATTAGATATTCGTAATCATAAATATTCGTAGAAAGATTAATACTATCAATTTTATTCATAAATATAATTTAAAATAAATTCAAATTTCTAATATATATAGTTAGAATAAAAATAAATTGTTTTAGAAAATTTTGTTCACAATGTTGGTATAGCAGGAATTAGGAGTAAAATGCGCGGGAATGGATTCATTGCAACGCTTAAAATTTATTCGTTGTGAAAAATTGACTGTGAAAGAAGTATGCAGGCTTTTTTAAAAACTGGTAAATTAGGACCTAGTGATTCTAAAAAGGCTTCTAGTTCTCGTTCAAGAGAAGAACGTAGCGGACCTGCACCACCATGGGTTGAAAAATAGTAAGCGTGTGCAAATATAACCTAATTTACATCAATATGTACAATTTTTTAATTTCATTATTTTAATAGCCGACCGAGAACAGTAGAAGATGTTGTTGAACAAGCAGAAGTAGTAGAAGTTTTACGACAATGTTTAAACGGTGGAGATTTCCCAAATCTGTTATTTTATGGACCACCTGGGACTGGTAAAACAAGTACAATACTAGCTGCTGCTAGACAGTTATTTGGCAGCCTTTACAGAGAAAGAATATTGGAATTAAATGCTTCGGATGAAAGGGGTATTCAAGTTGTGAGGAATAAGATTAAAACTTTTGCACAACTTACACCAGGTGGTATGAGAGATGAGTATGTTCATCATCATATTGTTTTTATAATTCTAATGAAACCAATGATGCTTAGTAAAAGGTCTGAGAATTACAATTGAGCTATATAAATGAACAATTTAGGAAAAATAGTTGTAATCAGGAGTTGCAATAAAGCTCTTTAGTAACTCTTATTACCAACTAAAAAATAATTTGCTTTGAGCAGGTTCTCAAAAGTATTATAAAGTCTTAAACATTTGGTCCTGTATCAGAAGCAGACATATAATAATATTTACCTTTAATAGTCATATATGTGGCTCTTGTAATTTCTGTGATAAAGGCACAATCTGAGGCATGTTATATATAAAAATTATGAATAAATGATAGGAATTTGTTGTAACAACGATGTTTTTCTTTTTCAGTGGAAAAAATTGTCCATCTTTTAAAATTATTATCTTAGATGAAGCAGACAGTATGACTAATGCAGCACAAGCTGCACTTCGTCGTACTATGGAAAAAGAATCTCATAGTACACGATTTTGTTTAATTTGTAACTATGTATCAAGAATTATACAACCATTGACATCTCGTTGTTCAAAGTTCAGATTTAAACCCTTGGGAGAGGATAAAATTATTGAAAGATTAGAGTACATATGCAAAATGGAAGGCTTAAAAGCAGAAAAACCTGTCTTACTAAAAATTGTCGAAGCTTCTGGTGGAGATTTAAGACGTGCTATAACATGTTTGCAATCCATTACAAGATTAAAAGTCCAAAGTATTGAAATTACTGTTGATGATGTTGTTGAAATCATTGGGGTAATATGCAATTTTTTTTCTTAAAAATAGAGAATGAAAATGGTACTGTTTTATTGCGTAATGAAATATTAATAGATTGTTCCCGACAAATGGTTGGATGAATTAATGGAAGTATGTAAGACAAAGGATTATGGCAAAGCAGAGGAGTTTGTTGATCACTTTATGTTGGAAGCATATGCTACCTCTCAGGTAAACTTTATCATTTCATATAAATTATTTTTTAAACTTATCCAATGTACATTTTAATAATTCCTGCAGGTTATTGAGCAACTCAGTGAAAGAATCATATATTCTAATGAATTAACAGATAAACAGAAAGCTGTAATTGCAAATAAACTTGGGGTAACTATTTTATTTATAAAATAAATATTAATATGTGTTATTGATTTTTTTTTTGTTTCCAGGAATGTAATTATAGATTGCTAGATGGTGGAAGTGAATATATACAACTTATGAATGTTTGTTGCGGTATTATGCAAGCTTATGAATTAGTATAATTGTTATTTAACTTGGAATACTTTTTATGTCAATAAATATTTATTATTTTTTCTACGAACTCTGTTTCATCTGTCTTTTCGAAATTAGAGTGAAGCAGTGATAATGATTTCACATTCCCTATACTTAGGTTGTTACCCTAATACTAGTGACGTATTTTCCCCTATCTAGAACATTTGTTACTTTTACACTAAATATTTTTAGAATGTCATAATACGTATTACATCAGTTTATTATTTAGCAAATGCTCTTAGCTGCGATTAAAATCAAATTCAAAATACAGTGATAATTTTACGATAAAAACAGCAAGTCGTGTTATAATCTAGGGAAGAACCGATTTTCAAGATCGAATAAACGTAGCTCCGTCGCGCACCCTGTCGGTAAGCGGCGTCTGGTGACGCCATGGTTTGAGAGCCACTGTCATCGGCGTGTAGGGGCGTCGTTGCTGCGTGCAATGTGTATCGTGTAGGCGTTGGCGAGGAGGAGACAAGTCGGGGATGTGTCCGTAAAAAACTTGCGGTTTCTGCGTACTCTGCCGCACGTGCACGCTCGAAATCGTGTTCCGCGAACGATCGAGTCCCAACAAAATCATACTGCGTGTTCGCATCAGTCGAAACTGTCTCGCGAACGGGCCTAACAATTACGGCCAGGAAAAAAAAGTGCAGCCAGTGCTCCGTATTCTTTCGTTTCTTCCAAAGGCCACGTATCGTGCGTGTGTACCTCAATCTCTTGTCACGGACGTTTAAGACGCGAGAAAATAACTTGAATCAGAGAAATCGTCGATTTGGTTCCACGGGACGAACGACGTGCTGCAGAAACGACGCCCGTACCAGGATGCTAGAACATCTTCGAAGGGCTTTCGAGTTTGTCGGTGTTATTCGTGCGAATTAATTTTAACTCGACTCGTAGGAGACGAGAACGTAGCCTCGAAAAACGTACGGATATTAACACGAGAGAAAGAAAGATAGAGATAGAGAGACAGGGAGGAACCCGAGAAGAAAGAAACCGACGGAGAGCGTGTGTGCGGGAGATGTTCGGAATCTCGAGACGAGATCCTGGTGCGGGAGGATTCCACTATCAGCGGCTACGATCGAACGTATTATCACACGCCGGATTCTTCGGTGTATGAGACAGCATTCACCGGTCGTGGGTCTCTCTCTTCTTCGTGTAAACGCGGCTGACTGTGTGTGCGTGTTTTTCCCGGCGAGGAAATCTCGACTCGCGACGGCGGCGGCAGTGGTGTCTGTTGGCATGAGATTTTATTGTCGTTCAGTCGGCACGCTCTCGTGGAACTATCAAAGTCGAATACGCGCCGTGCGGTTTATGTGATTTTTTGTGCGTGAGTCACAATAGTGCCCGTTCTCTTTCCAGTGTCGAACGAAACTACTGTTCGACCGTCGGTGACAAAGGATATACGTTTCACGGAAGAGATTTTTTGGTAGGGTGGCACTCGCTTCGTTTTTCCGTTTGCCCCTCGGGCTCTCGATGATTCCGAGCATTATCGTCGCACAGTTGACAGTGCGACTCGAACTACCCATGTAATCGTATCCTCCCGAGGAAATTACATATACATCGGAGCCGATTCGCGTGCGTGAAACGAAGTGGTGTGGAAGAAAACGTGCAGAGGACAGAGGGTGGATGACACACACGGGACGCGTATCGGCCGGCCGAGGGAACGAATTTGCGGATTCGTCGCCGGTATATTACGTCGTACGACAAAGCTTCTTGGAATGTGACGGGGGACACCCGGCGTGGGAAATATCGTAGAAAAGGTAAGCGATTTGAATATGGCAACGAGTTGCTTCGTAGCTGTCCAATTCACTAGGCGATACGAACTGTCAATGGAACAAGCGTTCAACGGGCGCGTTCTAACCTGCAAATGTGATCGCGTAAAAATAACGTTGACAAACGTGATCGTAATAGATACGAAACTGTATTAAATATATCGATATTTAACAAGAGATACCTCCCTAAATGATTTATGTAATACGCTATAATAGACAAAGCGATGACTATCAATATGCAATGCAATTGAATATTTCTCTTATCTCGTATATTTCGAGTTCGGCGATCGTTGCGTCATTCGATACTTTTATCGATATCCACGAGTCATGGGTAGACAACGTTATCGATAGAACCGAGACTGAATCAACAATTCGTAGATATCGATAAAAGAATTCGAAGTGCGCGGTAGATGTCAGTATATTCGAGTATCGCGTATTTGAACCTGAGATGTAATCTCGTGAGTCACGAGCGATCGATATAACTTATATCGATCGAGAATCGCAACTATTGACAAGGCATTCAGTGCGAAACGAATGGCGTCGCGAACGAGCTCACGGTTGTCACAGAGACGCGACTGGTATTGTTCCTGTTACTATACTCCAACTATCGACTTTTGGAAAAAGATCTTCGATTGAGTCGACCACGGCAGGATTGCACTTGTTACTCCGGTGCAACGGCATTTCTCGGGAGTAGGCGCGAGCTTTGTTTTTGTTTTGAAGCGTATGTGACACTCGATGCCGCGCGTCCACCGCACGCCTGCCAACGTAATTCGAAGTGGTAGCATTCAGCAGCGTGACTTATGGCCCTTTTGAGAATATACGCCGGAGTATACACCGATGCCGTCTGATATACGGGGGCGCAGAAAGGTTAGGTATGAAACGGAAAGCTCCCTTGGAGCAGATATACAAGGTGTCTTATGTAATTTGCCAGGGTTGTAATTTTATAAACGTTTTGATAGGAGATAGTACAAGTGCACGGAATACAATTAGATAGCGATATCTTCGCGTTTGGAAATATTAATCCAGGCGAACCCCTTTTCGAGGTTAAGTATCGAAATATCTTTTTGATAAAGAATATACAAGGGGACTATATACATGCATATAGGTGCATAACAGTGATGTATAAATCATTGAATTTCATTGGACCGTGCCCTTTTCACGCGCATATATAAACCACCGATAATTCATGGATGGGCGTCTCTTTCATGCAGATAAAAGGAAATTCCGGGGCGTCGTTAGACGACGCACACGTGCTGGGCTGAGGTATATTGACCCGAATGTGAGAACACGATTTAACCCTGCATCCGAGCGTAGGAATTAATTCCTTATTAAAAGCAAGGCGGCAGGGCGTAGGTGGCGCTGTGATTACTTTTCGAACTAAATCATTCGAATCGAAGATTTCCCTTGAACTAAATCGCAGGAGACAGATAATTACAGATAATTACAGAGAATTATCGAAATTAGGTAAAGGACACAATAAAATGCAGGTATATATTAAATAATACAAAATATATCCTAACGTTCGATATAATGCATAAACACATTAATAGATACATGGACGCAGCAGATAAACCGCCATGTTGCAAATGCTTTGCAGGTTAATTCCCTCATCCTAAGCAGGTATTCCTATAAATGATCGTTACACAACGGTGAAACTAATCACCGAGTAATATCACATTTACCATATAATTTGCATAATTACAACGAATTAATTTCAGATGAGTCTCGGCCATTGTTATAACGTTGCTAATTAAATTAAACACCGATACACGCGAAATGTCGGCCATCTTGAACGAAAGTCGATTAATCATTCACGTAAACGGAGAAACCGTAGCAGCCAGCGAAGAAAGAGTGTTTAAGAATTAATACGCCGTGCAAGCTGCACAACTCTGGCCCGGCAAGAAAACTCCTAATGAGGGCTTATAAAGGCCAGTATCCTAGTTGCCTGTGCCGCTGCGCTCTTGCAACGCATCTAGCCAAGTCCCGGCTCGCCGACACCCCCAGTCCCTGTTTATATCCGGTTAGATAAGGGGCGAAGTTGCGTCGTTTCAGAGCACAGATATACGCCGCGTATACCAGCATCCAGACGCTGCTACACTTTTGGCCCGCCACCTGGAACGCAGATAAGCCGAGCCAGGCTAATTGCCCGGACGAAAGTAACAAACGATCCGCTGTCTTTATCGTTCGATGATGAATAATCCGGCGGAGATCGTGAAAGGTGTCTATTTTCTTGAAAAGCGAGCGTGCGGTCGAGCATCTAGCCGGAGGTTTCGCTGCTCCTCTGGATTCATTGGTCACGGTAGCAAAACAGGATAATCTTTCAGCAACCACCGGCGACGTCGATAAACCGCAAGCTTGCTTGACTGGAACACCGCGCACGACCAGATAGAGCTTGTTACTATTTCCCCGAATAATGTAACGCAACAAGTTGCCTAAACGTCCAGCAACAAAGTGGCCCACAGCGTCGGCGGGCACCACCAGCTGGTCCCGGAGCATTTTTTTCGGGCTGGCTGAAGATATATTGCAGCCCAGCGAGAAGCTAGGTTCCGTACCTATAGGGGGCCCTCGAATGGCTTTATCCCTCTTACCGTTGTCGTTATAAGAAGAAGGATAGGTCGGAGAGGGATCGTAGGACCTAGTACGACTTCCTTCCTTTTCTGCGTCGCTGTTGGAACGGAAGATGCGAAGACGAGAATGGGGCGAGTCTGTTTTACTCGTGGGTGGGGTTTAAGTCGGCGCTGCCATGAGTTACTGCACGCGCTCCAAAGCTACAGCGGAATATGTAGCACCGCAAAGTGTCCCACCAGCTAGGTCTATCGCATCTGGCGTTACGTGCAACCACGTGTTCCCCAGATTCCCTGCTACCTTCGATATTTCAACGTGCAAAAGAACTCAAGCAAGTTTGGATTTATGGATGGACCAGGTTAGGCTCGACAATGTTACTCGCTTCTCAGGGGAAGTGGTTGAAGAATCGCTTTATGGCCTCTGGATGGTCACGGGCGTGATGAAGAGCGTTTTCCATTAGCATCTCTCCTCCGTTAACACGGTCCGTAGCACCTGGATGAAGAAGCGTTTCATCTGGCGAACCAGAACATTGCTCGTAGATGCTAATCTAACTTCATCACTGGGATCCCGAGTGCTACCGAAACACTTATACATCTTCCCATCGCTGTTAAACGTTCCGAAGCATGCGCTGGTAATTAGGTTTCCAGAAAGAACGCAGTTCCCCGTTCAGGAACACGGAACTTTGATCTAGAATCCAATTATCCGTGACGTCGTAGAAAGGGATGCCCACGACCTGGTCTGCGGAATGCACAACGCGAATCGCGAGATGCAACAGAAGTGCATCGCGGTACAGGTGCACGTAGCGAGATAAGCGATCCGGGGACTATCTACCGGAGCCACTGGACCGGTGAAAAGTTTGCCTGGGTCAGCTGTGCGATCGGTAACTGAGAGAGTGGACCCAGTGCTCCACATTATGTCGTATCGAAAAGTATCGACTCGGTCGTTTCACGGAAGCGTCCATTTAATTTCTAATCGAACGATCAGTGGTCGCGACGGTGCTTTGAATCGGTCGGGTGTTCCCCTTTCGAGCTTGCAATAGCCTCCGTGCCCAGTCTAGTTACATTCAGTGCTCATAGTTCACCGAAACTCGGACCACTGGCCGATTGTTGGTCGCGGAAATGACGTTGTCAGTGTCACGAGCCCGATCCATGTTATCGATTAGTTAATCGAGTTATTAGATCGGTCATGACGTCCTTGTACGATAGCATAGTATAGCGCGAATCGACGTGTGTTTCTTCAGTGATGAAGGATTGTTTGGTCACTGATGACCGCGTCGAGGAGCGGGCCCAGCGGGTTCCTGGAACGTACCAGGTAGTTGCATTCCTTCTTCCTGAGTCTTGTTTCCGCGAAAGAACGTCCTCCCTTGCATGGCATTCGCGAGAATTGGATCCGGCGAGCCGAGTTCGCGGAAATTTGTATTCCTCCGCGTTCAATTATCGGATTTCACCGTGACTGTATGAAAACTGTTTTAGCTACGGAGTAGGTTCCGCTGTGGCGAGGTATCTCGGTTCTAAAAGAAGTAGAAGGCTATCGAACTCTGCCGACCGGAAGTATTGATTAATCAAGTAGACTCCGTGATATTCTACCACGAAGTCACGCATTTTGGAGCAAACGTTACCTGGGGTAATGCATTTGCCTTTTATTCTACGGCCATTATCTTGGCTACGTATAAAGTGATCTTGCCAGAGAACTCAAAGAGTTTTCCGTTACAAAAGCATTGTAATGGGAACGTGTTTGTACGTATGCATGACCTGTCAATCGTTATTTACCATAATCTAATGGGCTACGCGAGCGATATCGGTCTATTAGATTACGATAAAGACCATTGATGGATCGTACATGTGTGCGAGATTCTCGTTACGATGGTTCTGCGACGGCACTGTTCATCAGTTCGTCAGAGAGAGAGAGAGAATTACGTGGAATAAGTCACACGGAAAATTCTTATCAGGCTGCAACGCGTGAAATGAAAACGAAATCTTGGTCAGCACTAACCTAGGTTCATCCAATTAGACCAGCTACTCTTGTCATTCCCACCTAACGATCTATTCTCATCCTTCCAAGAACTTTAAATGGCTCTCGTTGATTACCCCAAAACAATTTGCCGACTTTCCCGCGGAAAGCATTTAAATAAATCGCCCGCAGTCTGCTTGGAGAATTACCGAGTTGGTCGGTAACTTGTCGAAGATGTATAGTTTTATTTAGGTGCAAGTCACTGATAAGATTTTTATCAGGTTGAAAGACCTCTTTCCAACTGTCTCAAACGTCTTTATCTTAATTGTAGCTAAGATTCGCCTGATTGGATCAGCTATCTATTCCATTTATTCTCGTCACAAAATTCTATCACCGTGTATCGAGTTTCCTCCAAAAATGTCCCTAGGAAATTTAATCGTCTTGCTAAATCTGTTTAGAATCAATAATCACTA